GGTTCTATCTAAACAAACTGCTCAAGTTGCCACCCCCATTTACAATCCTATCTTACAGCTTTTTTCCAGGAGAAGCAGTGGTATTTACATTTTCTGTGTTTCCCTCCTACATTTCTTCTGGGTTTTCCAATAAGCAGAAAAGGGGAGAAAGAACTGATTTCTACCATGGCTAAAGGCAAGGTGTCTTGCTCTCACTGGACTATTCAGAATGTGGAGCCCGATCCATATTTCCTACTGCTTCCAGCACGCCTTCAGATAAGCACAAGGTAACTGCTGGGAGTACACAAATCTCTAAATCCAACTTGGTCTTTTGGAGAGTCCAGAAAACTTTTCTCTACATTTGAGGGCTCTCAGAAATTGTGTGTGTGTGTGTATGAGTGTGTCTTCAGAGTCTCAGCAAGAACTTACATGCCGTTCCCCCCTTCTTTGAACGGACAACGCCACGCGTGCTCGCACACACTCAGTTTCATTCACCTGAGGCATCTGCGGATCATTGATGTCCCAGTTGAGCTTCATCCCATAGGCGCACGCACGGTCCGTGTCCTGCGCTACCTCTGCCGGCATCTGCCCAGCCTAGCTCGCCTTCTCTTCCTAGGATCCTGAAAGATAGAAAAAACGAGAGGTGTGCAAGGTGATCCTCCCACCTTTAATAAGAAATCAGGTGTGTGTGAGAGGGAGCGCGCGCGCGAGTTGTTTAGAAATTCAGAAGCTGCAAGCTGCGGACTTGGATCGGGCGGAGCCCTGTCCTCAACTGCGGTGCTGAAATCTCTCCACCCAGAGAGCAGCAAGGGTCTGGCGGCTGTGTGCAAGTTTATAGAGATACACCCCTGCGGCTCCGCCTTTCCTCCTCGCTGCGCTCTCTAGCGCTCTTCACGAGAAGCAGGTCACCCCCTCCCGGATAGAGCTGGAAAGGAGGAGGAGGTTAAATCTAGCCTTTTTTGAATCAAGAAGAAACTGAAGCCAAGATGAGATGCAGTTAGAATATTTCATTTAAATTGCAAACCATTTTTTATTCCTAATTGCACCTCGGTCTCCGTGGTTTTGGAGAAGGCTTAGATCGAGGCTTTTGAAGCAGTGGTTTGCTAGCAAAGTCCCCCGAGAGCCCACACTCCATTCCAGGAGAGCGTGGGAACCTTGCGGCACTCTTAACCGCCAGCCACACGCCCAAGTCTGAATAAGCGTGCCCACACCTAGTGTGGGGCCGATTTGCTTTGAACCTCCGCTCTTGGCTCTTGCTGCAGCTGGTGGGCGAGTCAGCTGCTTGTCTGCACCGGACGTCGGAGGGGGCGCGGATGTCGCCGAAAGCTCGCTGGCGCACCCACGCTCTTGGGGCTGCAGAGTCCTGAATCCTGGAGAAAGTCCTGGAAAGTGAATCTGGAGGCGGTGGAGGTGAGATGAACACCGGGTAGATGGAGAGGGCGGTCGAAGTTGCGCTCTGCTGCAGGAGCTCAGAAGTCCGAAGAACCCTGGAACCTTGGCTTCCTTATCCGTTAAATAAAGAACCGAGTGGAGTTCCGCGAGGTTTCCGCTCAAGTCACCCACATGAACGCAAATCTTAAAAAGAAATGTCTATTGGTATTGTGGAAATTCCCTTTAAAGAAATCTTTATTGATATTGTCGTGGAAATACCGCGACAAATTCAGTTACTTCGTACTGTCTTGGAAGGCTTTTGGGCATTGGAGAACCCTTGCTAGGACAATGTGAGCCCTTCAGGACTGAGACGAAGCCTTCTTCCGATGTGCACCCGCCTCACTTCTGGCGATTCCGGCACCTTAGAGGCATCCCCCCCACCCCCACCCCCAAAAAAAGAAAAGAAAAGAAATCAATTGGAGTCACTAAAGTCGCTCTTTCGCTATCCCAGGGACGGATCCTAGGCGGCGAGAGAAGATGGTCATCCGGAATTTATTCCTAGATGTCTTGTTTGCAGTCGGCACGCTTCTAGTTCGAGCTCTAGCCGGAGCACAGATCAACCCCCCAAGGCCTACAGCTGTTAGAGGAGGATATTCCCGACCCACGTCCCTCCAAATCCCGACCCTGGACCTTGGCACTCTGGAGCGCGCTCCAGGCGCAATGACCACAGCTGCTGGGAGACCTAGCCAGGAGGGCGCTGGGTGCGGCGCCTTTTGAGGATTAATCCCTTCGGTTGACAAAAGACTGGGAAACGAGGTGCGTTTTAATCCTAGGACCCCAAGAAGCCAAGGATCATTCGCCCACATTGTTAGCTTACCTCTGCAATCAAGGGCACCACATGTCTGCTCAGAAAAGTCAGTCCAAGAGCAAGGCACGCTTCAGAAAGCCAGCCAACCTCAGTGGACCCGAGAAAAGTCAATTTGGGGCAGATCCTCGCCTGCTTTCCTTCTAGTTTTAAGGTCAGGGCCTCGTCCCAGGGGAAGAGGAAACGTCCTAGAAGAAGGAAGAGATTTTTTTCATCCCCAACTTCTCCTGAACGGTCTTGTCAAGGCTTCAGGATAAAATCCCTCATTCGGAGGCATCACTAAGTCTGGGTGGGAATGGGAAAGATGTTTCTGCTTCTGTTCACACTTCCACCCACAAACTACCATCTCATTGACTGCGGAAGGTCCCTGTCGTTCTGTTGCTTTTTTATGTTGTGTGTTCTTTCAAAATTAAATTTAAATTATTGACCAATTTAAAATAGATATTTCATTAAATGTGATAGTTTAAGATAATTTATATTTTAAATGTCTTTAAAACGATTTTGAAGCCGGGTGGGTGGCACAGCCTGTAATCCCAGCAGGAGGACCACCAGTTCCAAGCAGACCTCAGCAACTCAGCAAAGCCATAAGCAACTTAGTGAGACCCTATTTGAAAATTGGGGGAAAATTATTAAAAGGAGGTAGGGTAGCTGGAGATATAGCTCAGCGGTAAAGCACCTACGGTTCAAAACTCCTTTACCAAAAGAAAAAAAAAAGACTAAAAATAGTTATTTACCATTATCTCTGAGAATACATAGACATTAATTTCTGGTGTTAGTGCAAACATTGTTGGAATATTTCTTTCCTCCATGTTTTTGAGATGTCCCTAGAAAGTCATGACCCTTCAAAAATATGTGTTTTGTACTGAAGATTGAACTCAGGGGCATTTAACCATTGAAGCACATCCCCAATTCTTTTTTATATTTTATTTAGAGACAGGGTTTCATTGCATTGCTTAAAACCTTGCTAAATTGCTGAGGTTGGCTTGGAACTCTGGATCCTCCTGCCTCACCCTCCTGAGCTGCTAGGATTAAGGCATGCACCACTGTGGCCGGCATATGTAATTTTTTAACATTAAAAGTAAATCAATTAACTTGTAAATAGATTCTGTTGTTCAAAAAGGGGAAATTCACAGAAACTTCAGCATATTTAGTTTGTGAAGTATTAGAATATATATTCCAAGTTACCCTGAAATATGTCTGAGTAAATATATTAGTAAAAGAAGCTAACCAATGTAAAAATATAAGTAAATAAGTATTATTATTTTTTATGATGTTGTTTTTAATATCTCATGAAGATTGAATACATTGATACTATAGAGTTTTGAAGGCTGTATTTTCCCTCAAAATCTGAAAAAGGTTGATTTTGAAGTTTTCTATTTAAAAGTAAAAAAGTTAATTTCATATTAAATGCATTTAAACTATATTTGATTGTTGTTTTTACTATGCTTTAATTCTTTCCTGCCCTAACATTAGCATGGATTTAGGGTTTTTGTTTGTGTTTTTTATACTGGGGATTGACACCAGGAGTGCTTTATCACTGAGCTACATCCCATTTCCTTGTTTTCCCTTTCTTTTTCTTGTCTTTTATTATTTCTTCTTCCTCTTCTCCTTCTCCTTCTCCTTCTCCTGCTCCTTCTCCTTCTTCTTCTTTCTGTTTTAAAGAGTCTTGCTAAATTGTTCATCCTCCTTGCCTCAGGCTCCAGTGTGCCCCACCTCGCTGCAATTCAGGATTTTTAAAATTCACAACTGTGCCTGTTACTAGTTTAAAATTATGAGTCCATTCATTCAAAATGAAAGGAAGGAAACTTTAAATTTTGTAAATTTAGATTAAAACAAATAGATTAACGAAAGTGTAGTTACAACATGTTTGCCAGGAAACAGACGGGTCCATAGTTGACAGAAACATCGTTCTGAATAGACTGGACGTGCCAAGTCCTGGCTTAGTAACAAGGATTTTGGTTTTGTGTTTGATTTCGTGTAGATAAATTTCTTCTGTAAATAGCACAACATGAAGTACAGCGGTTAGGGATAAATGTAAGTCGAGTTTTATACAAGGAATGTTTGGCGTTTTGTTTTGTTTTAGAGGAAACTCAAGTCATTTATTTTTACCGCGGTGTTCAGATCACAGGCCACCTACCCAGGGCAACTTAGCAATTAGCACGCACAGGTTAAGTAAGCGGACAAAAAACTAGCTGAGTGTTTGCTTTATTTTTAATTACCACCCCGTCTCCAAGGTACTTTAAAATGCAAAGGAACAGAAAGCACCTTTTTGTGATGCCAGGAAAGTGTTCCGAATATCGGGTACAAACTGTTCCTATGCGAAACGGTTCAGCTGTGGTCAATACACATCAAAGGACCAAAACCAGCCCCTCGGTCTGTGGACCAAGAAGAGAAAGCCTCACCCGGCGTGTAGCGCAAAGGTGATGGCCATTAGTTTGAATTTTTGCGCACACAATGTTTATCAAAGGTGTTCGCGTCTTTTGAGCGTTGATTTTCTCTTAAGGAGCGTGTGCGTGCGCGCAGGTGGCCTGGCCACGAGCGCTAGTTACTCGCACGCGTTTCTTGAATCTCCAGCACCGGGGTCTAATAGATTTCAGGAGCAGGTTCATTCAATTAGAGATCCTGGAGAAGATTCAAATCCAAGAGCCATCCTGCGCCTCAGACCCTCACCGCAGCGCTCCCAGCCGGCAGTGATCTCGGGCCACTGAACTGAGTGTGTGGAGCGTGGCGGAGCGCACCGCCCTGAGTCTTGGGTCAAGTGCGGCGTAGGCTCCCAGGCGTCGGGATGCCGGCGGTGAGTGACCGACACCCGCGCACCGGGGGCGCGGGTGGAGCGGGGCCCAAGTCTTCAGAGACCAGGCACTGGGTACAGTCTTAGGCTGCTGCTGGACAAATCCTTCCCGAGGCTCCTTGAATGCTTCAACCTCCTTCTGTTCTCTGGGAGTTTATTGGCAGCTTTCAGTGGAAGAATGAGACAGGGCAGAAATCCTGTCAGTTACAGCGCCTGGGGAAGAAACTGCAGGATTCATATTTGGAAAGCAACGCGATGTTTTATTCCAGCTCCTCAAGCTTTTTCCCAGTCTCTTTCCCTTTTGTGCATAGAAAGTTTCGGTTGACCTTCACCTGCTGGGCCCCAAATCTGCATTCCGAAATGTTGAGAATTTATTTAACTCCAAGGAAAAGGATGCCCCCTAAGACAGCCAGAGGGTCTTGGTACCCCCAGAGCTCCAATTTATCAGCATTTAACTAGCATTGACGGCTGTTGGGGAAAAATGGCCCAGGTCTGGGTTAGGGTCTTTGACCTCACCCTATTTTTCATGTTTGTAAATGATAATATGGTAAAATACACTGACATTTAAGAATTTTGGTCAAATGCATAGAAGTGTACTGTTTGTCCAAACTAGATTCAGAAGATACTTTTTAAAAATGTTTAAGATGCTTTTAGACCTGTATTTGTTCATTTATTTATATGCGGTGCTGAGAATCGAACCCAGTGCCTCACACACGCTAGGCAAGCGCTCTGCCACTGAGCCACAACCCCAGCCCCTTTAGAAGATACTTTTAAAAATAGTTTGTTTGGGCTGGGATTGTGGTTTAGTGGTAGAGCACTCACCTAGCATGTGTAAGGCACTGGGTTTGATCCTCAGCACCACATAAAAAAGTAAATAAACAAAATAAAGGTATTGTGTCCATCTACAACTAAAATAAGTAAATAAGGCTTGTTTGTATTACGCTTTTCAATTGTTGGCATGAAGGGAGATCAGATACTGTTACTCAATGTGGCCTAACAATGTTTAAAGTCAGAATAGTGGATCAGGGATCACTTCCTGAAGAAAACAACCTACTACTAAATGTTTTGGATACTTCTTTAGTGGTGGTTGGTGTTTGATCCTTGAAATTTCAGTATAGAAGCCCCAACATTGAAAAGTTGCACATTGCCAACACAAAGCTTAAACTAAGGCTGAGCTGGATAGGCACTTTTTATTTTAATTTACAAGTTCTGATTCTGAAAATGGTTTAATTCAAAGCCTTTAATTTACAGTCACCAGTATAGAATTTAAATTTGTTATGGGCATTTATTCAAATAATGTCTGCTTCTTTTGATAGTCTGCATTGCGCTAAAGGAAGCCGGATAATATTTATTTGCAGCTCAAGAGGCTTAGACAGGAGGATCATGAGTTCAAAGCCAGCCTCGGCAACAGTGAAGCACTCAGCAGCTCAGGGAGACCCTGTCTCTAAATTAAAAAAAAAAAAAAAAAAAAAGCTAGGGATGTGGCTCAGTGGTTGAGTACTCCTGAGTTCAATCCAAGGTCGTCTGCCCCCCCCCCCCCAAAAAAGGCACTGTTATTGTGCTGGAACTGTTGCTCAGTGGTTGAGTGCTTATCTGGCATGGACGTCCTGGATTTGATCCCTAACACCACAAACAACAACAACAACAACAAAAACCCATGGTCTGTCTTAGGCTGTAATCAGCATCATGAGCAAACAAAAAGTTTCTATTCAAATAAACAATATAAGCCTTTATTTTTAGACCTTGAAATAGAATTCTTCAAAATAAAGTGTGTGTGTGTGTGTGTGTGTGTGTGTAACATCTTTTTTATTGCACACAGAAAAATGAAGGTCCTTTGCAGTCTGTTAAGGAAGATGATAGTGTCGGGAAGAACCAAGATGCTTTCTGGGTAAAGATCAAGTTTATTTTGTATTCTTTGGTAGTTCTGATGGGTCATTAGCCCCATTATTTCTCAAGCCAGAAATCCTTTTTTGTTTCTTCTTCCCTAATCTCCCATATTTAATTCATTTCCATGTCTAGCTGATCTTACCTCCCACTGTCCTGACACCTTAGTATAAACCATCTTGCACCAAGGGAGCATTATTCCAGGTGAAAGTAGATAATATCAAACAAACAAAACACAGTTCCTACCCTCGTCAAGCTTACACTGGCTGAGAAAAAGAAACAGACCAACAAATAATCACGCAATGGTAAAGAAAAGGGCAGGGTATTGTAAATGGGGTTGTAAGGAGGCACATGGCTCACTTTAGAAAAGGTGGTCCTGAAAGAGCTACCCCAGAAAGTGATACTTAGTCTGAGATTCACCATGGTGAAAATGGTAGAGAACAGCAGTCTAGGGATCTAACTGCTAGTGCAAAGGCCCTGGGGCAACGGAGACTTTGATTTATTCTCAGACACATTAGTAGGGAAGTCGGAGAAGTTGGCAGAGATTAAATCATGTAAAGGCCTGAAGGATAAAGAGTTTGGATTTATTCTGAGTTTGGGGGAAGAGATGGTGGAGACTTAAGTAGGCGAAAGCATGAAGTTTTGAGTTGAGGTCTGAGTATGAATCTCACTTGAATGATCTCCTGAAGGTCTGTAACCTCCCCCATCCTGGCTATTTCTCCAGAGGAAGACTAACTTCAGGGTGTTAGGGAGGTCTCAAAGGGGGAGCATTTGAGGAGTCCTTAACACATTTGGCACAAAAAAATTCGCTATGTGGTGATTTAAGAGAATATTCTATTGTGCTGGGCTCAGTGTTGCACGCCTATAATCCCCAGCAACCCAGGAAGATGGTGAGTTCAAGGCCAACCTTAGCAACCTAGAGGGGCCCTAAGCGACTTAGCAAAACTCTGTCTCAAAAAAGGTCTGGAGATGTGGCTCAGTGATTAAACTCCCCTGGGTTCAATCCCAGGTACCTCCCCCCCACCCAAAAAAAAAAAATTTGAAATGGAGTAGTTTCAAATGCTGTTTCTTTATTTAAACCTGCACTAAGAATTAGAATTTTGAATTAAATATAGTAAAATACCTCCTTACTAAAATAGTATTGTATATTATAATTTGGACTATACAATTGGACTGGATTTTCTTTTAAACTGTCTTTTGTAGCATAACTACTTAAGGAAATGTCTGTTATTCAAGTGAATGGTCTCCCTTGGCTAATATTCAGGAAAAAAAGATAGTTTTGTATGGCAATTTGCATATTTGTCAACTTTCATCGTACATAATTCTTAGTTTTATTTTCTTCTGTTATTTAAGTATTCCTAGGCTTGCGTTTCTTATCAGAATTTGCAACATTTCTGAGCGTCTTTTGATATCTATAATGGAAGTGCAGTTTCCCTTAAATCTGTAGTTCTCAAGTTTTAGCAGGTGTCAGCAACCCATGGAGCTCAGCTTACAAGTCTCTGAGCTCTCATGGGACCCCAGGTGATGCCAATGCTTAGGGTGAACTGGGACTCACATTCTGAGACCTCTGCCTGAAGCCAATGGAAAGATCAATCATTTAAGTGATGGTGGACTATTGAAGACAGATTTTTATTCTATATTTACCCGCATTATTTCTTGCTGACTGATTAGTATTGATATTAGTTAGAAATGTTACTATAAAACAGATGTTCTTGAGTAAAAAAAAAAAAGGTAACTCAAACGATTACTTTTCCAGCTTCAATCACTAATTATTGATGCATCAAATAACAAAGGATTTCAGAAGATAAAAGAATTTTTTGAAGAGAAAGAGAGCTACCTTCCTCAAAAATATAATCATCTTCTGTTACACCATCTTGACAGATCAATAAATAAGGCAAGCCGGTTATTTCTTTGGGGGCCAAGATACCAATGTACAGCTGCTTGCAAGAGCTTTAATTTGGTGTGATCTACTACCTAGGAACTGGATAAAAATGAATTTCAGTATGTTTCACTGTTGCTGAAATGTATTCAGCAATTCTTCACAGATGACCCCAAGGAAAAGGAACCCTTGCTAATTCAGCAGGGACTGATCTTGAAGATAAGTGCTACACTTTTAATTTCACATGACTGGGTAACCTTTAGTGTGAGGGGTAGTGGGGATGGCTCAGTGGCAGGTGAGTGTGCAGAAAGTGTGTGGATCGAGTCCTCAGCACCACAACACAGAAATTACTGTGGATTGTTAAGTTGCTGGTTAAGTTTCTGGTCCTTTGAAACCAAATATGAAAAGGAATTGGTGTCCATTCTTATTGCTTTCTAATCAAATTAAATTCAACCCACATCTCCTGTGGTTTTTCTGGGCAGAGTACATTTCGAGTAGACAGGATCAAGTCAGACACACCCTTCTCCTTGATAAGCCTATGCACAAGTGGCCTGTCTTCAGTTATTTTAGTGAAATTAAGGAAGATGGGATGAGTAGACATAGGCTCTAAAAATATTTTAATAGACTTTATTAACAAGGTTGGACCTAGGAAAAAAATCATCAAACTTCCTTTCAATACCTCACTCTGCCTGCTTTCTAAACCCCTGGATGAATCTGAAAAACAAAAACATTTGCTTTTTGGTTTTATTTAAAGTCACTCCAGTTATAAATTTTATTTTTTAAAAAAACTTAATGAGGAGGGAACGTTACAATCACCTTAATGAGTCACACCAGGAAGGAAAGCAGAGTTCTCAGTCCTCACTGCAGCTGGTTCATGGTGAGGTTTAGCAGACCCCGGATGGTGTGCTAGAGGTGGGGAGAAGGGCAGGCGGTGTAGTGGAGGGATGATCTTGGCCCTGGAATATATTAAGACCAGGTTGGGCCAAGAAGACCTGTCTCTGCCCCTTTTCTACTCTCACATACCAGTAATTATGGGGCTGCCCCTTTGGGGCGGGGGGAGTAACTTCCAGGCTTTACCAAATTCCTGGGGTGGGGGACTTTTAAAATGTTTGCAAGGCACTTTTAAAGACTGTTTTCATTTTGCGTTTAATTCACTTAATGCCCTGATACACTGATGTATATAACAGTAGCAGGGAAGAGGGATGTCCTAAGGGTACTTTAGTGTTTAAGCTGATTTTATTTTTAAGTGGAGGTGGGGGGGTTGGAGGGTAGAGGAGTGGGAGTTGAGTTGGACTATGTATCTGCTGGGTTTTCCTATTTAGATTGCCTTTCCAGAGTTTAAAAACATGCTATATCAAAATCCTCATTGGATTTTAAAATCAAATTGGAATTTCCACATTACATTCAAGTTCTAGTTGGTGATGGTAATTTAATGATTAGGCACCTTCTGAAACATCTTTATTTCATGTAGGTTTTGTGCCAAAGAGAACAGATCCATATTATCAAAAAGATTGGGATATTAGAGTCTGTACTTCAAAGCCAGTTGTTGGCAGGGTCAACACAGTGTGCTTGGAAATTATTCTACTCCATCGAATTACAGGATTTCCTGTAGAGAGGAATGAATTTTGTCCTGTACCCTGAGTCCAGAAGGATTAAGCAATTTGTCTTACCCCATGTTCCTAAGTCATTGCTCTTTTGTCTAGCTTCTGGTAATGACACAGCTGTGGGGACAGCCAGGGTACCTGCTAGACGATGTATGATCATGGCACATAAAAAAAGGGTTAGCAAGTACTTCTACTCCCAGGTATTGATAAACTAATGTATTTTCCCTGCTTCTGTATATCTAACAATTGCTGGAAAGGAGGTATGCTTGGAGAGAGAGATGGAATGATAACAAAATATATTTAAAACCACAGAATTTTGAGCATGAACATAAGAAGGAAGGTATAGCTTTAACCTTGAGTCCTGCTGCAGAGGGGGACATTTCTTCCCATGGGTGGTCAGAGAGCAATTTGCTTCAGAAGGAGAATGATTTAATGTATGTATTTGTCTAATGTGAGATAAAAGAAACTTAAAACAGTGCTGACTCTCAGACCTGGCTGTATGTCACAATCACCCAGAAAGTTTTTACAAACACTCCCTAGAGGACCTGTCACCAAGGATTCTGATTTCTAGGGTCCAAGATAGGTCCTAGGCATTGGAATTTTCATACCTGTGTTTTTCTGATATGTAGCCAGAGTTGAGAACTGATTGATTTATAAAGCAGTAAAGCAAGGATGCCTTGGATTCTTGTCTAATGTGCACAAAACTTCAAAGGCCCTGTGCCAAAGGTAGTTGTTCATCAAAAGCTCCTGTGGCTAACTTTATATTCATCTAATGATTTCTAGGTATGCATGTTTTTCCCCCATGAGTGATCAGTCTTAGCAAAAAATGGTCCAGAGGTGTCCTTTGCTTGATAAAGCAAATGCATCTTACAGGGAGGTTATGGAAGTTTATTTTAAATCAGACCAATGTTAGCAATTCAATGTGAAAGTGGATATATATAGTCCTATAGGAAAAAAAAAAAAAAAACTTCAGTTAGCTAAAAGCTTTTGACAAAAGAAAGGTATCCAAGCCTGAGGCACAGTTACAGTGACCTTGAGTACTGCAGGAGCACTTCTCTTTTTTTTTTTTTTTTTTTTTTTTAACTACAATGCTGGGGATTGAACTCAGGGTCTCTTTCCCACTAGGCAAGTGCTCTACCATTGAGCCAAGTCCCCAGCCCTGCAAATTTTCTTTGATAGTTTTCTACAGCTTCTCAGATCCACAAGATGTTCCTCTGGGTGGGGGAGGTTCATTCATCTCTTAAACTTTCCTCACAAACCCCTTTATGTGAATTTCTGGCTTGGATCCTGGCCAAGTCTGTCTGTCCTGCTGAGCTCAGATAACTTATTGTAGTCAAGTAGCCGTTGGACACCATTCTGATGTTCTACGTGGGGGGCCTCGGAGCCAGGCCTGAGTTACTAGGGTATGAGCAAAGGTCTTTAGGATGATTTTGCTCGAGTGAGAGAATTATCTTGTGAAGTTTTATAGCACAGGCAGTAGGTATTCAGTCTCACCGGGTTCCATCTGTGTTTCTTCCCATGTACCTGGTTTCCTGGTTTGAGAGAACAGTGGGATTTCTGACCATAGAAGATGTAGCCTCAGATGTTTCACTCACTGACGTTTTAGAGGACTTCTTTGACACTGTGCTGGTAAGAGTGGACAGATGCTTCATGGAGCAGATGCCACAGGTACTGGGCAGGAAACTGATCATGACTCTTGGCTTTTTATAAGATATGTGTTTAATGAAAAGACTCCCATGTTTTAGAACATTATGTGAAATAGTAACAAACATTAATATGCAACCAATAGTATAGAAAACTGATTTATTTTTACACATACAACTATATTATCTACCAGATTAAAGATGATACGCTCATTTTAATAAAGTGAAGCTCCAATAGATTTTCTTGGAGAATTTTCTTTTGGGTTTAAAGCTGACTCTTGCCTATTAGGAAAAATTAGCACTTATTAGTGTTACAGTGTATAATGCCATTTTAGAATACGAGCTGTATCTTTTTTTTTTTTTCCAGATTATTTCCAGGAGTAGTAGTGAAGGTAAGTAGGGTTTTGGCTACTAATATTTTGGTAAAGAGAAAATGTTTAAATGATATGCATGATAAAATGTTTAAATGATATATGAAGCAATAACTTTATATTTGAATTTATGGGCTACTTTATGTAGTCAGATTTTGATGCCAGCATGCATTTTGTTATAGAGGATATCTGGGTTTGCCCGAGATGTTTTTATGTGGCTGCTGCTGTCACATTTGGCTATTTTCCTCTACGTAGGTAATGGAAGGTCGTTCTTGTCATTCCAAACCAGCAAAAGTTTAGTGCTATGATTTGAATGTGGTTTGTCTCCCAAGGGTTCGCAAATTGGCAAGTTGGTCTCTACCATGCTTGGTCCCCAGTGTGGCAGTAATGAGAAGTGGTAGATCTTTTTTTTTTTTTTTTTTTTTTTTAAGCCTTTATTTTGCTTATTTTTATGTGTTGCTGAGGCTTGAACCCAGCACCTTGCATGAGTTAGGAGAGTGCTCTACCACTGAGGCACAACCCCAGCCCCAGAGAAGCAGTGGATCTTTAAGAGGTAGGCAGGGCACAGCTCTCATGAAGGCAGCAATGCAGGTCTTGGGGTTTGGATTCATTCCTGTGAGAAAGGGTCTTTACTAGAGTTTGGCTTTTGGGTCTTAATTGACTGCTTCCTGTCTGGCCATGTGACCTCTTCTGCATGTCTACTCCATCACTGTGATGCCATCTACCATGAGGTCCTCACCAGAGAGCTGCAGAAGATGGCATTGTGTTCTTGAACCTCCGGACTCGGAACTGAATAAACTTCTTTGTAAAGTACCCAGCCTCAGGGATTTTCATTATAGCAATAGAAAGTGGACTAGACACAAACTGGCTAAAGGGACCAGTTTATGGAGTCACCTGATCCTTGGAATATGACCTCTTTGCCAAGGGGACGAAACACGGTAGATGGCTGCATTAATCTTCTCTGGCTGCCATAACGAGATACCAAAAACTGAGTGGCTTAAGTATTTACTTCTCAGTTCTTATTTCTCCCAGTTCTGGGGTGTGAAGCTGACACTGGGGTGCCAGCAGAGTGGGGCTCTGTGGGAACTCTTCCTGTCTTGCTTTGTCCTCGCATGTGGTGAGAGCCAGATTTTTCTCTGGTGTCCCATTTTATCAGGCCTCATGAGGGTCCCACCCTTAGGGCCTTATCTAGCCTACCCAAAGGCCCCCTCGAAAATGCCTTCTCACTGGGGGTAAAGGCTTCAAAATAGGAATTTTGGGGAGTGGAAGTGGCAGGTTTTCACATGTAGTGGCTGACAGGTGTCTTGCATGAATGTCTGGGCTCTACAGAGTTGGCCTAATCCCTCTCTGAAGTAGAAAGGGTCTTCACTGATCTCCTTCCCAATCCTCCTGCCATTGATAGTTCATCGCTCTTTCCCATTGATGTTCGGTTTATTACATGTGTTCTGTTTTTGTGATTCTTTTGATTTGTGTTTTGATGTGTGGATTGTTTCCCTTCTCAGTTCCTCCACCTGATGTCAATGATTTAAAATGTTTATTTCTTCCCCACTGTCTACTTTTAGGTCCATATTATGCAAATATTTGTAGCTATTTGTAAATATTATGCTCTGTCTTGTGCTGCATTCTGGAGTTCTATTCCATTATGGCTCCAACTGCTGCAATATCTTTTGAAGAGCATTATGGTGTGTGGTTGGAACATGGTCAGGGCTTTAGATCACTTGAGGATGTCTCTCTTTTTGTTTCCCAGGATTGAACCCAGGGCTGCTTAACCACTGAGCCACATCTCCAGCCCTTTTTATTTTCTGTTTTAAGATGGAGTCTCACTTAAGTAGCTCAGGGCCTTGCTGAGTTGCTGAGGCTGGCCTTGCACTGGTGACCTCGAGGATGCCTTTCTGGCTTCTCTACAATATTCTGACTCTGCAGGCTGCCCCCCTTATAACCCATTTTTGTGGTCTTCTGATATTGAGTTGCGAGTATGAATGCATATGTCCACAAACACAACTGTTTTGCATGGTTCTTGGTGAGATTTGAAATCTTTAGCTCAGGAAAATTTGTTCTTTGATAATATTTATCAGAGTAGAGTTGCTCATCTTTGGCACTATTGAAGTTTTGAGCCAGATTATTCTTTGTTTTGGGGGTGCTTGTTATGGTTTGTATGTGAGGTGTCCCCAGAAACTCATGTGTGAGACAACATGTGAAGGTACAGAGGGGAAATGATTAGGTTGGGAGAGCCTTAACCTAATCAGTGAATTAATCCCCGATGGGATTAATTGGTAGCTGGAGGCGGGTGGGTGTAGCTGGAGGAGGTGGGGCATTGAGGGCGTTTCTTTGGGTATATATTTGTATCTGGAAAGTGGAGTCTCTCTGCTTCTGCTCATCATGTGAGCTGCTTCCCTCTGCCACTCTCTTCTGCTATGATGTCCTGCCTCACATCAAACCCTGAGGAATGGAGTCTGCTGTGTGCAGATTGAGACTTGTGAAACAGTGAGCCTCCAAATAAACGTTTCCTTTACAATCGTGCTGGTTGGGTCTTTTAGTCACAGCAGTGAAAAAGCCGACTTGAATTGTGTTCAGTGTATCCCAAGATGTTAGGCAGTACCCCTGGCCTTTACCCACCAGATGCCAGTGGCAATCCACTCCAGAATCGAGACAACCCAAATGGATCTCCAGACATTGCTAAGTGTCTTCTGGGGGACAACCCCCCCCCCTCTAGTTGAGAACCATTGGAATTGGGTGCTTTCGGGGCATGGAACAATATGTAGTTCAAACAGGCTTAAATAAAAACTTATTGGCTCAAGGAACTTTAAAAACATGAGAGGCGGGAAGCTCCAGGGCAGCTTGGTGGGGGCTCTGCTCCACTTCTCTGCAGTTCTTTCAAGACTACCTTACTGCTCTGTGGTTTCAAGTTGTTTTCCGGGGGGCGCGGGGTTTGAAGAATAGCTATCAGCAATTGGGGCTCCATGCCCCTGATTCACATCTAGGAGAAGAGCAGTTGGCTTTCCCCAAACAGCAAACAAAAGACCTAACTTTGCTCTCAATGGATGCTAATGCTCCCCAAAAGAACCAATCACTTGAAGAATGGGGTGCTGTGTACTCTCAACCAATCAGGATTCACTCCCACAACTGGTCAGTCCCACCCAAAGGCCCGACTGCTCCCTAGGAGGAGGGAAAGATGATGCGAAAGTCCATTAATTGCCTTTTCTGTTCCCCTGTTTGTAAGATCATCTATTTTTCATTTGTGTTTTGTCTTCCTATGCCTCACCACCTCATTCATTTTTTCCCTCTGAATTTTATATGTTTTCAAGTTTTTCTTGGAAGCCACTGCTTCAATTCTGCTCTCCTTGCCTCTGCAGTAGGCTGGATTCTGCCATCGGGCGTCTCCCCCTGCACACCCACGGGCGGTGGCCATCTGCTTCTGCTCTTGGGTCCATTCCTCACTCAGTGCGCTTGATTTTGTGCAGTCCTGTTTCCTTGGGGGTTCTTGCCTATTGCAGTCTGCTAGTCATAGGGTGTGAAACGGGCAGGATGGAGCAAACGGGCCATTTCTCATCCGCCCTCTCTTCCGGTGTCATCTCTGGAAGTATCTGCAGAGTCCCTGGGGCCTGTTTGCGGCATGGTCTCAGTTCCTGGGATCTGGTAATTCTGCTTCCTCCTTCAGCCCTCGGGAATGGGGATAGGAGGGTGGTGACCTCCTGCTGTGTTAATCTCTGGGTTGCCACATTGGTCCCACTTTGTTTTCTCAGTTCTTCCTACTCTTCATAACTAATTCCCTCTAGCAAATTCCCTGGGATTGAAAGGTCTAGAATGGCTTTGATTTTTTTTTTTTTTTTTTTTAAATTCATGGTTAATTCTGTTTACTTCTGTTTTCATTTTGGACTACTGCTTTCTCTCCTAAATCAAATTTCTTGTATAATTCACCTTTGTGTGTGTGTGTGTTTGGGCAGGATGAGTTGGATGTTTTTAAAATTTTTGTTTCCAGAGTTTTCCAAAAATCACAAAACTTTCCTGCTTGTCTGAACTAGCCAAGTTCCTCTTTTCCCTTTTCATAGGGTCATATAATGTTATTTTTCTCTTGATGCTTTTAAAATGAAAATGTGGAATGGTACCTGGTATTTGCTAACAGGATACATAGACACCTTTAAAATCTTATACTATTCTGCTGGGCTCTGTTAGAAGCTTTCTTTTGGATTTTAAGCTGGTAGGCTCAGACTCTAGCCAGGTTTCTGGTTTCCAGAGATTATCCTACTGATGCAGTTTGCTTGGGTTGAGGAGAGGTCTTCTATATTTTTACTTCCTGGTTTGGATTCCCATAATTTCAGGAGCTACTTGAGTTGAAAAGGATACACTTTGTAATAATCCACATATTAAACATACATTTGGACATATGAGTTATACAATGACCTTACTGTGAGTCTTTGCAGTATGCAATATTGTCACTTCATATCTTAACATGCATAAATGAAACCATTGATAATAGTTTATTTAATAAGCCTAAGATAGTATTACATACCCTGTTCTTTGTGTGTACTGACATAGATGGCTTGAAGTTTCTCTGGTTGTGTTATTTAATAAGGGCCAATATTTTATTTTAAAAAACCCTGCTTCTCTTATCGGTGCTTGACCTTTTAAGATTTGTTTATTAAAACACATAAAAAGCATGAAGAAACAAGTGGAAAATACAGGACCTGCACTTTGCCTTTTGGTACCTGGGCGTAATCTAGGTAGCTTTGCTCAAAGTTTGATCACAATAAAAAGGTACTTTGTATATGCTGTTATTTTCCTTTGTGGGTGTCTGTGTAAAACAAGTCGATCATGACCTCGTGATTCTATAACTTGAAGCTTTCTCTAATACGTCCCCTGCCCATGATAATATCATTCATATAAACTATATATATGATTTTTTCCTGCATTATTTACTTCTCCTGTAGCTCCCAATCTGTTCCTCTTTCTGCTGTCTAGGATTAATTTCCTTATTCTTTTTGACATGTATTAGATTATTTTAAAAATTATACTTTCAGGGAAAATCCAGATGTTGGATTCCTTCATACTCAGCTTGGGATTCCTGGTAATAGAAAAAACTGTAAAGTTCTCGATTCAACAGGAGGTAAGTTGCAGATAACAAAACGGGCAGCAGTTGCTTTCAGAAAGCTTGGAGGAAGTCGTGTGTGTAGGTAGGCCTCTGTGTTGTTCCTTCTCCCCAAACGCCTTCTTCCATTCCAAAAAGGCTCTGAAGACTATGAACTACATTTTGCATGGTGTGTCTTCTGCAGAGAGAAGAAAGTTCCCTTTGTCGGAAGGCACGTGTCATCTTATGTAAGTGACCTTGTATTTGGTTATGTGATTTCTCAAGGGCAAATTCTCTCGTTGTACTACTTTGTTCCCCTTAGACCGAATTACTTCACTCCTCCCTTTAGTAAGTGCTTTGTGTACCTAATAGATATCAGGCCCTGTGCTAGGCAGTGAAAGATGGAAGGAAAAGGGTGGATGTTGCTAGACTCTTCTTGTTTCCTAGTACAGGGATTTTTTTTTTTCTTTCTTTGTTGCATTGAACTTTGAGACAAAATGCTTTCTTGGGCTATGGATAATTTTTTGACAGTGAACATGACCTACCTTAATGACTCATGGAAGAGTGTCCGGAACATGGACCTAGAGCCAGGCTGCTTGGTTTTGAGTCATGGTTTTGCCACTTATGCAAGCTGTGCATGAGCCACAGTCATAACCTTGCTCTCCCTCAGTTTACTTGCCTGTGAAATGGAGCGAAAAATAACTCTGACTCCATTGTTGTTGTAAAGGTTAGATCAGGCAATCCCATTTAAAGTGATTAGCATATTACCTGGTAAAGACTGAATGCTCCAAGGTTACTTTGCTTCAGCTAAACCAATAGGGTATGAAATTTGTACTCCTTTTCAAGTGATAGATTTTTTTGGTTGATGTTCATTTTTTGAAGACCCAGTTGCAGTTATATAGTTTCTGGGTTGTGAAATATGGAGGTAAGGTTGTAATATATGACACGAAGGAAAGAGTAAAACTACCTTTCTTTGAAATTTGAACCTGAATCCATGGTTTTGTGACCCACTAGGACCATGAAGATCATCACTATGACATCCCACCATTCATGTGACAAAGCCATGACCCAGGTGTTCACCATAGTGCAGGGTCTGGAAGAGGTGATTGGCAGGTGTGGTGATTCCTGCCTTCATGTTTGCCTATTTAACTAGTCTTTTCAGGATATAGTTTTTCCACTGAATAAAAAATAAACCATTTATATTGAATACATTAATGAAATCAGTACCCTTTAAAAAATACATACATACATACATATATATATATAAAATTTTTAGTTGGAGATGGACACAATACATTTACTTTGTTTATTTAGTTTGTTTATGTGGTGCCAAGGATTGAACCCAATGCCTCACACATTCTAAGCAAGCTCTCTACCACTGAGCCACAAGCCCAGCCCATGAAGTCAGTACTCTTAATGGTATACTTAGGTTTGGATGGTGGCTGACTGATGTTTTCAAGTTTCCAAACTAATCCTAGAAAATCTAGAATGTTCTGGACTCCAGGTCAAAGGGAGAACTTGCAAGCATAAAGAGAACTCTCAGTGGTTCTGACTTAAGGCTTATATTTAATAGTAACAAATTGGTTCATTTATTATAAGAAATGGAAATAACACAGGGTTCTTAACAAGTCTATTCTTTAAAACATATTTTTAGACACAGTCAAAAACTCTAAAATGAACAAACAATATGGAAAATTCTAAAATGAATATATAGTAGCTTAATTCCATTATATCTTTTAAGTTGATCATTTTTGAAAATCAGATCAAATGGCACATAGTATAGACCCAGAGTACTAGGTGTCAGATTATGTAAAATGATATAAACCCTCATAGACTGCTGAAAGGATTGATCTTATAACTCCAGAGCTGTATTAGATAAAACCCTAGATCACCAGATTAAAGTAACTTCATAGAGAATGAAATAATAAAACTTCAAAAAGTGTAGTGGCTCCAAGCTTCACACCCACAAAAACCCCGTGTAATTAACATATAAACTTGAAGATTTTTTCACAAAAATGTAATATGATCCATGTGAAAATTCTGATGGTTTGAAATTGCTGCAAAAATATGTCTTGGTCTTAAAATGTGATGCCCATCTGATTAAAAAAAATTTTACCTCTTGCTCTTCATTTCAATAAAATATGTTCTATCTAAATGTTTCAGGAAGAACCTGGCATGGACAATCTTGACTGTGGGTGGTAAGAATTAGTTCAAGTTTTAAATACTTAGAATATTAAATATTGGACACCATTTTAAAAATGAGCATCTTGAATCAATTATGGTCAAATTAAAGATAATTAAGATTCTACTTTTAGTTTGGGAAAATTAAAAACTATTAATAAGTAGAAATGCATTTACTCACCAGCCAGTCCTGTCAAATTTTGGTATTTTGTCACATCTGTTTCAACTGAAATTCTTTTAAATAAAAGAAATCAGAATCTCAAGTTCCCAAGTCTGTCTCTACTTCCATTCCCCTTTCTTTGACTTGAATTTATTTTTTCATTCCCAAGCATATTTTTCTATTTTGTGTATTCCATAAGCAACATACATTATTTTTACAGATTTTAAAAACATTATATAAATTCCATCCCATTGGACACATCCAGTTACAACTCCTTTTTTTTCTCTTGGGACATTTGAGATTTAAACATATCAATATATGTAGTTTTAGTTTATCTGTTGTGAAATACCATAATTGATCTTGATATTCTTTTTTTTGGCGGGTAGTAACGGGGAATGAACTAAGGGGCACTTGACCACTGAGCCACATCCCCAGCCCAATTTTGTGTTTTATTTAGAGACAGGGTCTCATTGACTTGCTTAGCACTTCGCCGAGGCTGGCTTTGAACTTGCGATCCTCCTGCCCCAGCCTCCTGAGTCACTGGGTTTACAGATATTTTTCTTTTTGTAGCAATATTTTAAGGCTTTTTGATCTAATTTTATTCCTATTTTAATATAACTAAAATATAAAACACATAATTTTTTAAAAAAATTGGTGTCTACTGACATATTGTTTGTGTTTTTTCTCTTAACAATTCTTAAATGTGATTTAAATGATTTAATTGCTCCAGGAGACATCTTCTTAGAACTGTAAGACATAATGCTAGTCTTCCAAGATGGAGTTTCCCCCCATATTTTTAATTGGTGCATTATAATTATACATATTAGTGGGATTCATTGTTACCTATTCATAGGTGCATATGATGTAACTACAATTTGGTCAATATTGTTCCTCAGTATTTTTTCTTCCCTCCTCTCCCCCTTCCCTGATTCCTTTTCATCTGCTGTTTTGCCTTCAGTTTTCATGAGATTCTTCCCACCATCCCTTCCTTTTGTTTTGGTACTGTAGATTGAACCCAGGGTGCTTAACCACTGAGCCACATCCCCAGCCCTTTTAATATTTTGTATTGAGATAGTGTCTCCCTGAGTTGCTTCGGGTCTTGCTAAGTGGCTGAGGCTGGTTTTGAACTCATGATCCTCCTGCCTCAGCCTCCCAAAGGGCTGAGATTACAGGCGTGTGCCACTGCACTCAACCTCTTTGTTCTCCCTTGATTACACAAATGAAAAAAAAAGTGACCCTTGACCTTCTGTGAGTTTGGCTTAATTCTCTTTATGTGGTGTACTCAGATTCCATCCATTTTCCTGCAAATGACATAATTTAATTCTTTCTGGCTGAAGAAAGCTCCATTGTGTGTACATATCCCACATTTTCTTTCTCCATTCATAGGAGGGAATTTCTCAGAGCAGGTGCTAACTTCAGAACCTACATGTCCTGCTGCCTGGTGCCCAGAATTATCTACATCTGCCCTGTTTTCACTCTAGATTATGACCAGCAGGTCACTCTCACGGAGGCGCTGTGTAGGATGACGACTAGAACATCCAGGCGTGACCTTGTCCATCAGTGGTTTGATGATGAGGTCCTTGCTGAAGCTTTCAAGAAAATTAGGGATCGAGAATTTGAGACGGTGAGAAGCCTGGTTACAAAATTCCTGGTTGGTTGGTATTTATTAAGCCTCTGCTCAGTCCTGTCCTGTGTGTGTGGGCCTGGATGGAGTTTTCTTTTTCTTCATTATGATTAAGTGGCCGTTCTTAAGTTTCTATTCCGTGTAACAGCGAAATAATTTTGAAGGCAACATGAGGCCAAATGGGAAGATGAAGATGGGGCTCTGAGACTGGGGACCGAGCTCTGTGAATTGATGTGTCCAGTCCAAGAAACACAAGGGAGAGGGGAGCAGTTTTCCACAAATCTCAGTCAAGGAGAGAATGGGAGAAGGAAAGAAAGCACTGGAGCCATGGAAAGAGCAGCTGTGTCGCTGGGAGGTGTGATCCAGAGACTGAGGAGCCTTATGGGGTGGTTGTGCTGTGAGCCATGCAGCCTGTCCCATTTAGAGGAACAGTTATTTTCAGTATCTTCGACACAACCCCAGCTTACTGTGGTCATGTCCTCAAGTAGCACAGAAAAACGCCCTACGGCTTCATTGTGTATCTAACTGTAAACTAACAGCTAAAGCATCTCCCCTCTCATTTTAATGTTCTCAAAATGAAAGGCTCTTAGAAAAAGATAAAATTCATAATAGTTTTCATGTTAATAAGGACCTCTCAGGTTCAACCTGCCATGTAATTGGGACTCATACACAATTCAGACTGTATTAAATCTGGACCTCGTATATTTATCTCCAACTCTGAGCTAGTGCCATATACTTAGTAGGTGTTTAGCCAGATTCAGTATGCTCTAAATGGAAAGCCCAGAAGCCCAGGTGCTGTTCCAGACTTGGGCTCAAGTTCCACCACCCTGACTTACGTGATGCAGGTATTTTGGCCAGGTGCATGACTTGTGAAGCCAGAGTGTCCTCCCCTGCAAAAGGGGAATAGACCCTGCCCTCCCCCCGCCAATCAGAATGCTGAGCACTTAATGGGAGAAGCTGAAATTAGCTGGTATCAATTTCCTTTTGTCACTTCCTCATCTGCAGAGAAATTTGTCTACCATAGGAGAAAAGTAATTACCTTGTTTCCAAAATCCTTTCTACCCTGTCAGCTTTTTAATTGAATTGCTTTCAGTTAAAGAAAATTGGCGATGGAGAACACACCCAGAGAAACCCAGAGTTACTTCGTTTGATGGATTTGTGATTGGCTGTGATGCACAGGTGTTAGGAAGATTAGTTCAATATTGTAATCTTGGGGTTTTTTCTTGATTATTCTGACCCAATGAAGCAGTAGTGCATATGACTTTTGGAGACCTAAGTATTCATTGGCTAAAAACTTAATGCTGTGGTGAGGAGTAGTTATTTCCAGAAATGCAGGCTTGGAATATTCTCTTGATGGTACAAAGTGTTGCTAACACAAAATGAGTTCTTGTGAAACCTGGTGATGTTCCTGGACCCTGAGTGTTTGGAAGCAAACACTGGCCTCTGTGTGCTGGTTAAAGAAGATATTTTGATTTTTTTTTTTTTTTAAATAAAGCTTGCCATTATTTATTTTAAAGGATAGTCGACTCTTTCTCAATCACCTCAACAACAGACTTGGTGAGAAAAGAAGGTAAGATGTTTCTCTGTGTACTGTTTTCTTGACTAATTACTTTCTAGAAATGTCTACTATTTTACAAGAATAGGATCTGTTTCATTTTAGATATAGGATCCAGTTATTAATACAAATTTGTGGTTCACTGATTAGAAATCTAAGATGATCAGATCGCTTATGCCTAGTGACTCATTTGAGTGTTTAAAAAATTATCTGCCTTTAGCGTGTTTTTTGACTTTGCATATTTATTTTTATCAAGACATCCTTGAGTGAGTCTGTAGATCTTATGAAGAGCAAGGTCATATAGACTTGAGGTCACTGGGGATTCATATACCATGGACAGTTACATCCTTGATGAGACAAGGGTTGTTAAATTCACCCCTTTCTTTAGGAATCTTTCAGAATAATTTGGCTGAATTACAGTACTAGTGAACTGTCCAGCTTGAGAGTAGATTTCTATTTGCAGGGTTGAAACCCCCTACTGTTCTCTACATGAGGAAACTTAATGACACACCCTAGTTATAGATGCTTGTTGCAAAACGTTTGTAGGTTGTGTGTGGGGTCCATCCTTAATTTTTAATGGTGAGGTGTTTTGCAGGGTCTATTCATTTCCGTGTATTGCTGCTTTTGCTGATGAGCATGAGGTATGTTTGTTTTTCTCGGTGGGTGAGTGAGGGTGGTGTGCAAGGTTAGATTGTTGTTACTCAGAAGGGCTTTATAAAGAGGTTGCCAATTTCTCCTAGTGTTCTCAACTTTGAAATCATCCATGCTGGACCATGACCATGATGCTTGGCCAGTGAGCATAGGGGCTCTCCTGCTACTACTGGGTAAAGGAGTTTTAGGGTCCATACTGTACATATGTCAATTACAGGAACCTTGCCTTATTTTGCCCTATTGATGGGTGACATCCTTTAGGCCTGGACTTTCTATCATCTGGTTGATGCCTCCCTTTTTCCTGATCAAGTGAGACCATATTCCTTTTCTCTACTTTGTCATTGTATAATATTGTGCAAACTACTCCTATACAGAAAGTACCTTTATATCACAAGTGCTTGACACTATCTTTCTACCTTGCACTTTCTAGCCAAGGTTGATCAGCTGCTTTTCACCCCCTTCTTCAGTCTCTAGAGGAACAAGTTCTTTCATTATACAAGGTCCCTGACCTACAGTGTCTCATTTGCAGGGTGAAACCTTCAGGGGCCTTAGAACCTTGACTCGGCTGCAGATTCCTTGACCCCATCTTTAGATTGTCCTCATTAACAACTTCTTTAAGCTTAGAGCCTGTGCTCATCTCTTGAGCTGAACTTTGAGCTTGTGAATACCCTACACACTCCTTCTCTCTAGAACAGACATTGGTCGACTGATCCCTGTATCCCACTTTGGCCTGTTTTCCTTTGGTGGTCTGAGGTCTCCTCTCTTCACTTGGCTCTAAGACTTCCAGAATTCCATCAGCTTCAACCAGGCCCCTTGTGCTGGCTTCTGGTGGCATACACTGGGAACAGAGGTCTTCATCCAGCTCTGTAGCCATTACAGAGTGGGCATGTGTGATGAAAAGATGTCTAAGCAATACCGTTTATTGGAAAAGCAGCCTGTAGAATAGCAACTCTGGCGTTTGCCCCATCACTGAGGAATAAGAACTTTATATATACAGTTGAACATCCCTAATCCAAAAACCAGAAATGTTCCAGAATTGAAAACTCACAGAATCCGTGTGACCTTTACAAGTGGAAAATTCCACATCCGACTTCACTTGATGCAGTCAAAACACGGTGTACTGAAAATACTGTGTAAAATTGTCAGGAGCTGCCACTTAGGAACCGAGCTGCCTGTTAGCCTTGAGCAATGAGTATGTGGAGATGTGGCAAGCCAGCCATGGGCTGTGTATGTGAACTATGAGCATTGAGCACACAGGGTGGACTGAACCAACGTTGCCCCTCTGTTTGGGCGGGCAATATGTGTGTCTTTTTGCTTGCTCTGCCTATGAGCCCCACACAGCACATGAGATGGGCGTGGCCTTCCTAGATGTCAACCTGCTGACAGCAAGACATCATGAAGCTAGACTCCACTCCCTGAAACCTGACCCCTTGCCTCATTTGAATGGCTTCTCCCCAGTAAAAGGGTTCAGCACGCTCCTTGCTCTTTCTTGCCTGCCTTGCCCCCCTGGTGGGAGCTGCAGCTGAGGAGCAGTCACTGAGCCCAAAGAAAAGGTACTTTCTGTGTCTGTCTTATATTTAGTCCCCAGATTCACTTGGAGTGACCCTGATAGGTCATTTTATGCTGTGTCACACGACTAAACCCATGTATGAGGTGTATGTGATCTGTAAATGAATTTTGGGTTTAGATTCAGGTTGTTGCCCCCAAGAAATCTCACTACATACATGCAAATGCTCCAAAATACAAAAAGTTACAAAGTGCGTTGGGGTTGCAAGCATTTTGGATAAGGGCTGCTCAACCTGAACTTCCTGATAACTTGTCTGCAAAACTTGTGGCAGGAACTGGAGAGGAAAAAGGCATTGCTAATAGTGCCTATTGAAAGAGACCAATGGGAAGTTAGGAGGCAGGTACCACACTATTTCAGTCTTTTCTCCATTTTTACTAAAGCATATATTATAATTATCAGTTAAAATAAAAATGCTCTGAACTTAAGTCTTTATTCTAATAGATGGTAGCTTAGGTGACAGATCACTCTTCAGATTTAATCACATCTCCCTTTCTAAAAGTATCCCCCTATATGCTGTATGGATTGTCATTGCTTCACCATAGAACTGACGGCTTCATGATTCTCACCAGGAAGAATTGTCTAGGGTCATCTGACATTTAAAATATCTATTAAATGTGCTAAGGACAGGGATTTTATTGGGAATGGCTTGGTCATATACAGCTGAGATCTTGGTTTTGCACAAACTAATCAGGAAATAAAGGGGGCCCTAAAGTATTAGGATAGTGCTATTCTAGGAAAAGCACAAGATTTTTTTTTTAAATTAGTACTTTTTTATCTGACCCTATAACATAGTTTTTTTGTATGTGTATTACTTTTTTGCCAAAATTCTCTTACAGATGAGAAAACCAGCAGATGAAAAATTAGAGAAATTTTGGATTGATTTCAACCTCGGAAGTCAGAGAGTAACTTTTTATATACACAATGATGAGGTAAGCAGGTTTAATCCCCTATTAGACCTACCTGCTTAGTGTATTTAGAAACGGGTTATATGCTCATGAGTTTCATCTATTTACTTTCCCTAGAGTGCTCTGTGGGACCCAGTAAGAATTTTGAAGGAAGGAGTTGTTAACTTCAGAGTAATAGGTAAGATGATAACAATTCAGAACTCCTCCACATCTAGCTCAGTATTTGTTTATATTTGCAGTATGTGTTAAGACCAGATTTCAGTCATCTCATGGGGCAGAGGTAAGGCTGTGTGGTACAGTAGAAGGCTCATTGTGCTCAAGGCAAGGTTTAGGGGGCATAGTATTGATGACTTCTTTGCTTTGTGGCTTTGGGATTCAACTGCTTGCCTAGTTTTCTCAACTCATAGTTATGGTTCTCACCAGATTAAAAGCAGAACTGCCACCAGATGTAGTGGTGAATGCCTGTAATCCCAGTGACTGAGGAGGCTGAGGCAGGAGGATCTTGAGTTCGAGGCTAGCCTCAGCAACTTAGACCCTAAGCAACTTAGCGAAACCCTGTTTCAGAATAGAGCTGGGGATGTAGCTCTGTGGTGTAAAGCAGCCCTGGGTTTAATCTCTAGAACCAAAAAAAATTAAATGCAGAACTACCATGTAACTTTTCCAGAAGATTCTATCAACATATAGTCCAGTGATTTCACTTTGAGATAGACATACAAAAGAATTGGAAGGAGAATGTTGAACTGTTTATCTGTGTTCGTAGCTGCATTACTCACAACAGCTAAAAAGTGAAAATAACCTAAATGTTCAGTGAAGAATGAATGGTATCAAATAAAATATCCCATATGTGCACATGTATACCATGTTATGCAGCTTTGGGAAAGGGAAATTCTAACACCTGCCACAACATAGAGGAACCTTGAGGTCATTAGGCCAAGGGACATAAGCCAATTTGAACATGGCAAAGTACTGATCCCAATGTATGAGGGTATTTAATGTAGTCAAATTCATAGAGACAGCAGATTGGCCATTGTCAGGGCTGTGGGAAGGGAGAAATGGATAGCAGGTGTTTAAAGGGGACCAAGTTTCAATTTTGCAAGATGGAAAAGTTCTGGAGATCCTGTTGTATAACAGTGTGCATGTGCTAACTTAAATTAAAAACCACAAATGATTAGGATGAACATTTTATTTGTGTAGGGTTGTCCTGCCACCCCCAAACCGCCGCTGCCCCCCCCCCCCAGTCACAACTTGGAAAAATGGTTTTGGTACCTGTCTTCCTCTCCCACAGAGTCACAGTAACAACTGATAAATGAGTTCACAGGCATCTGTGCCACCTCTTGTGTTTTGATTTCAGTCCTTTGACCCCCTGACCTTAGGCCTCCTTCACTGACTTTTCATTCCAACTTGATAGATGGCATGGAGTGATCTTGCTCAGCATCTCAGCTGTAACCATATGTGATCAGGTTTCCTGAATTGGGTTTTTAAAATACAGAAGGCTATATTTTCATTCATGCTAGGCAAGTGCTCTACCTCTGGAGCCCACCCCAGCCCAAGACTCACATTTTCTGCTTAGCTTCCTGGAAGCCAGGGTGAAAAGTGAAATATGACCTGTGAGCATCTCTAAATTAGATGTTATCATAAATGTAAATTAGGAGTAACTTATACAGTAAACTTATCTAGGAACTACTTGTTAATTTAAGATGTATAAGATGGCATTGATAATAGTAAATAAGGACTTCCTTGGGTTTCTGACTGGGGTACCCTTAACATTGCTTTTCTGACTTTATGCCTCAACTCTGAACTTTGCTACACTCATAGTTTTCAATAACTAAGTTGCCAAAGTGAATATTCTATACTTTATTAATAGATCATAATACTACTGTGACACTTTGTCAAGATACCGTGTGGCGCTTTGTAAATACAAAGTGGGTGTTTCCATTTTTTTTTTTTTTTTAATATCTGAGGAAAACAAAGATTAACAGACTCTGCAAGTGAGACTTTGATCTTGTCTACACAGTCCTTCTGGCTGGGGAGTCGGCCAGGTATGTTGGCAGCGTGGTGTGGCCCTCGGTATTTCTTCTGACCCGTATGTGTTTGTGTTGATCCCCAAAGCCCAGCTAGCTAAAAATACATGTATTTTGGCAGATGATGGTTTTGAACCACTCTTGCAGCAGAGTTTTAGAAAGACTCTGTAGTGAGGAGTAGACACCCAGTAAGATCAGAATTTGGGGAAGATTCCCTGACCTTGACTCTAGACCAACACTGCCCCATACATAGAAATAAAATGTGATGCAGAGGCTTCAGAATGGGAGAAACTCTTCACTACCTGCACCTTATATAAGGCGTTAGTCTCCCAAAAAGCTAAACACCAAAACAAAACAAATAACCTAATCAATAAATGGGCAAAGGAACTGAACAGGCACTTCACAGAAGAAATACAAATCATTAACAAATATATGAAAAAGAATGTTCGACATCTCTAGCAATCAGAGAAATACAAATTAAAACTACCCTGAGATTCTCACTCCAGTCACAATGGCAGTTATCAAGAATACAAGCAATAATAAATGTTGGCGTGGATGTGGAGGGAGAAAGGTACTCTCATACATTGCTGATGGGACTGAAAATTGGTGCAATCACACTGGACAAAACAGTATGGAGATTCCTCAGAAAACTTGGAATGGAACCACCACTTGACCCAGTTTTCCCGCTCCTCAGCTAAAACCCAAAGGACTTAAAACCGGCATGCTACAGTGATGCAGCCACATCAATGTTTATAGCAACTCAAATCACAATAGCTAAGTTACAGTACCAACCTAGATGCCCTTCAATAGATGAATGGATAAAGAAAATGTGGTACATACGTATAATGGAACATTACTCAACCTTAAAGAATAATGAAATTATGGCACTTGCCTGTAAGTAGATGGAACTGGAGGCTGTCATGCTAAGTGAAATAAGCCAATCTCCAAAAACCAAAGGCTGACTGTTCTCTGGTGTGTGGATAGATACTGGGGTATTGGGGGAGGAAGGAGTGGAGGTTCACCAGATTGGACGGGGAACTGGGGGGAAGGGAGGCAAGATGGAAATGGGAAAGAAAGTAGAATGAGTCAAACATAACTTCCCTATGGTCATATATAAATATACGACCAGTGTGACTCTGCATCATGTACGACCACAAGAATCAGGAATTATACTCCATGTATGTATGTATGTCAAAATACATCCACTGTCATGTACAACTAAAAAACAAAAATGTGAGCCACATATTTATATTTGAAATTTTCTAGTAGCCACTCGAATTGAAAAGTGGATTAACTTCAATAGTATTTTAACCCAATGTATTAAAAATATTAATGTGAGATCAATATAAAGAACCTTTGTCCTTCCTGTTCTAAATCGTCTCAGTCTAACGTGGAGGTCACACTTGCAGAGCGTCTCCGTTTGCACGAGCTGGGTTTCAAGTTCTCCACCGTCCAGATGGCACGGCTCTAGACCTGTCTCTCTTTCCCCTCTCCATTCTCATCAACACGTGGCGGTTAGCTTAGTCTGCTCTTTCACAGACTGTACTCCATTCTTTCCTGCTGCTTCTATCTCTGTCCTTACTGCAACTTATGCTTGGACTTTATGGATTTTGATCTGAGCAATTTTCTCCTCCAAAACCAATTGCCACTTGTCAGTGGCATCCTGCTAGGAGAGCCCAGGAGGCTTCCACCTGAGATGGTCTTCTCACTGATGCTCCCACGTCCCCTTTTTAAAAGGAGTCTATTGAAATGAAGGTAGGTCGTTCCATTTTGCATATCAGAAACAGGGGACTTCATTTTGTATTTTAAAAATTTGTGGGGGTCCAGAGAGAAATGTTGTGCTTAGTGTATTTGGAAATAAAAACAAAATGCTCTTACAAAAAGTTTGGATTTCTTTGATAAAGTAAGCTGCTTCCTTTTATTGGAAGATCAACCAATCATGTATGCGTATGTAAATAAAAATTTCAAAGTAATGACTTTTCAACTCATTGCAGCGAAGTCCAGACAGTTGGCCAATACTCCAATGTGATCATTTGTGAATATAAAGTTTTAAGCCCTTTATTCTGATGTGCATGGTATACCATATTTTTTTTTTGCTAGAAACTGAGAAGATAAAAATACTCATCATTTACCTGAAGCAGCCCATTATTATCAGCAAGAAAGGAGTGATGAAAGTAGAAATCCATTTTGATCTGCAGTTCAGTATATCCCAAACTTCTGTCCAAGCTTTGGGAGAAGACAAACAGGTGGCAAGTTCCATTCTCTCATTCTTTGAAATTCTTGCAGTGTGTCATATGTCTCTTCATTTTCTTTCTAGGGTTTTCAGAAATTGGTGTCCTGGTTGGGTTTTGACATGAAGATTTGTCCAGCAGAAGCCTTGGTCTTTAGAAAGTCATGTGAAATGAGTAGAGAGCTTTGGATTCTGATCCCATCTCCTCCTTTACATGTGACATTGTCTTAGCTACATAGGACACGAAGCCTCTTTGTACCTTGAAATGCTCCGTCTGTCTCTTGCTGACAGTAGAAAGCTTTGCTAGGAGACATCACCTCCTCACTGGTTCTTCCTGGAGTCCTGTATCTACCCACTGGACTTCCTGGCTCTTCCTGGGCTCTCAGCTCCACCTGGCCCCAGGGAGAATCATTAGGAGTAGGATTTCTTAGGGTGTTTCCCCAACCACTCCCCGTCTTGCCCTGTGGAATAGTCTATGCCTCTTCTAGATTTGTATGGTTTTTTTATCTTGTGACTCTAATGCTTCCTACATATGTACAGGAGCAAGAGCCTTTCTCCATCAGCATCCTAGCCGGTAGGAAGGCAAGACATCTATGACAAGAGTTCACAAAAATGGATTATATAAAATGTTGTAGTGATGGCCAGTAGGCATTAAGAGGTCAGAGGTCTGATGGGAGAAGTCTTGGGTCAACTTCCTTTTAAGTTTGAGCTGTACAGGCAGGCATTTGATATATGATGAAGTGCTCTGCAAAGAATTTCCAAAGACCCCATGAGAAGACAATCTCATGGGAGAAAATGAGAAACGGAATCAATAAAAATTGACCCTTTCATTCTGTTATGTGATGAATGGGTCCAAGTTTGCCTTTACTTATGGAAAACATCAAAATGTTTCCACATTTTGCAAAATGAGCAAAATGTTTTGGGAGAAGAGTCAGGGTATGTGTGAGATGAAGCTCCTGGATAATGAGCCCCTGTAAGGAAGGGATGGGTTTGGAGGATCCTCTGTTGGGGGCCTCCCTGCAGACTCGTCTCTAGAGACTCAACCCTTAAGTGAAACAGGGATTAGAAGATACCCAGGGCTTGAACTTAGAGAAAGGAGAGGGTATGGTCTTAGTACATCCTCTCAAGCTATAACTGAGTACTACAGACTGGTAATTGGTAGAGAAAAGGTTTCTTTGGCTCCTTGTTCTGGAGGCTGAGGAGTCCAAATTATATGGTGCTGGTCTCCACCCAGCCTCTAAGGAGGGCCTTCCTCTTGCTTTCTGATATGCTGCAGGATGTCATCAGGCCAGATAGAGCCAGTGTGCTGGAGAGAACCCCAGTGTTTCTAACACAGCCACTGTTGGGATACCCATTGACCCAAGCCTGGGTTAATCCATTCATGAGGATGGAGCTCTTGTGATCCCACCTCCCAGAGGTATCCCACCTCCCAGAGGTATCACACCTCTCAGCATTGCTGCCCTTAGGACCAGGTTTCTAACCTGTAACCACAGGCATCGGGAGAGAGTGGTGGAGAGCAGGGTAATGGTCAGCCAGAGCTGGTCCTGGAGGGAGGGTGGTATAGAAAGCTGGAAATGGTAAAAAGCTCCTTCAGGAGAGGGCCAACTGAAGACGAGCTGCTCCTCATTGATCCATGTGCTGTGTTCCAATGTTCCTAGCTTTAAGTTTTCCTTTCAAAGTTTTTTTTTCCTGTTTATTTTTAAGGCCACTGCTTTTAAAGGTCATGTGGCTTTTGGCTTGCATTTCAGATGTTGCCCTATCAGATGAAAATAGCCTCGGAACTTAGTAAGTTTGAGAAAGCAGAGCGTGAGATTCTCCCTAGCCAAGAAAGTGCAACAGGTATTTTGAGAAATAACAACTTTCTGACTCTGAATTCTCTATGAAAGTGCTGACGACGCCTTATTGGGAAGGAGTCGCTGAAAACCTGTGGTTATAGAAGTAGAAAGAGTTTGGGGGAAGAGCTGCTGCAAGCTTCCCATCATTCCCCACCTGGTGGCGCCACCTGTGGGTTGGCTGGGATGGTAAAGAGCAGATGCTGGGCAGCAGGAGGAGGGTCTAAGGGGGCTCTGATCCCATCTCCCTTGAGCTTCTTGCCACGTGCCCACAGGTTGCTCATTTGAGGTCTGAGGTAGTACCTTGCTACCCAGTCGTGCCAGAGGATGGTGGAGGAGCAGAGGTGCACATTCCTTGGAGAGCATGTTGGCATCATGCATGGTTATTATTTTGTCATTTTCTCCACATGAGTAGAACATGCTGAGGAATCCACCAACCTGGCCGAGCTCATGAGTGCTGGAGATGACCGTCACCTGAATGGCCAGTCTGAGCCTCCCGTGAGTTCACAGAGCTGGGGATAGGTTCTGATCTGGGTCCAGAAGGAAGCTGGAATGGGTGCCGAGCCTCCTGATGACCAGGCCATTTGCTCCTGGTCAACCATCTCCCGATGCTTTAATGATGCCCTTTAGATTATTGTTGTCTGCTGAGTCTGTGCGTTCTCTCCTTTGGCTCAATTCTGCTCTCCTAAGAAAGGCACAACTCCACTAGCCTCTGCCCAGTTCATTCATTTGGGACCTGGAGACTGTGTCTGGAATAGGAGTCCAGAGTTTGGAGTTCGACATGGATCTTCACTTACTAGCTGTAGGAACTTGGAAAAATTCATATTATAGCTCTAGGGGCGTCCCATCCACAAAATGAAGGTAATGGCAAATTCATAGGTATGGCTTCGTAGGGTTTAAAAATGGGTACTAAGTTATGGCTAGAGAGGACCAAGGAGTTCTGATGTGCTGGTTCACAGTGGGATGACTTTAGATAGCACCGTACTTTTCAAGAATCCAGAAAAAAGCATTTTGAATGTTTCTACCATAAAGAAATGGTATTTGAGGAGATAGACATGTTTGACTAGATCTGATCATTACAATGTATACATGAATCAAAACAGCAGATGACACACCTTCAGCATACACATTTTTAATGTTTTAGTGTGCCAGTTAAAAAGGAAATTTAAAAAAGATTTCATGGAGCCCCTGCTTTGCATATTTAGTTATTTAGTTCATTCCTCACTTTCTTACATGAATGTATCACACTGATGGTGGAGTCACAAAACAAAAACAAACCTAGAGACCGTTTTCCCCAGTGAACTCTCATCTTTTAATTAGGCTCCTTGGGAAGTCATACACATGTCCCAGCAGCTGATGCCATCTGTCTTCCTGCTGCCCTGTGTACCTGTGTGTGCTGTTTCTTTGGTAGTGGCAGATCCTTTCCCGAGATTGGAGGTGACCTTTTAGGAAGAGCCAACAGTCATTGGGAGCCATGCTTCATGAATAAAGAGCCTGATACTTGGTGGATATGCTCCTTTTAAGATGTGTGAAGTGGTTTCAATAGACTTTCAAAAGGGGGCTTCAGAGAGATCATTAAGTTATTTTTTTTTTCCTGCAGCACAAAAATACAGCTGATAAATCACCTGAGAAACTGAAACTGGATGACACGCAACAAGGTCTGATATGTCTTATCTGTCATAAGACCCGAGAGGTCTGTTTAAATGTTTACTCAGGATGCTTAGCACTTCTTGGTTTTGTTTTTTCTCCTTAGAAGTTACCTCAAAACATGAGTATTCTTCAGATGGAAAAGAACCGTCCACTCCAATTCAGGCTCCTAACTTAGACAACAAATCCAGGTAAGTGATTTTTCTTTTTAAGTTTTATGGTTCTTAATAGACACATACTAATTGTTCATGTTGAGGTACAGTGATAGTTCTATAAATGTATCACGGAATGATCAAATCATGGTGTCTAGCATATGCACATAAAACATCTACCACTTCTTTTTGGTGAGAACATTCAGAAACCTCCTATAGTTATTTTGAAATATGCACCACTGGGGCCTGGGGTTGTGGCTCGGTGGGAGAGTGCTCACCTAGCACGTGTGAGGCGCTGGGTTCAATCCTCAGCACCACATAAAAATAAATAAAAATGTAGTGTGACCAACTACAACTAAAAATATATAGAAAAATGTGACAATATTAACTATCGGCATCCAACTGTGCTGTAGCCTCCAGAAGGTGTTCCTCATATTGGCTATAGTTTTGGCCAATCTCTCCCCAACATCTCTTTCCCTTTACCCATCCCCTTGCCCCACCCCCCACCCCTACCACCTCCACCACCTCTATTAACTATTATACTACCTCTATTTCCATGGTGGTTTTAGGGTCCACACATAAGTGAGATCAGCAGTGTTTATCTTTCTCTGCTAGGTTTATTTCACATAACAGAATGTCCTCCATGTTTTGAAAATGATAGAATTCCATCTTCTTTTATGACTGACTACTGTTCCATTGTGTATCTCACCACATTTTCTTCATCTGTTTTTCTCTGGATGGACACAGGTTGATTCCACATCCTGGCAATTGTGAAACTAAAAACTGTGCTAATTATTGTATGTCAATACTACAAGTTAACAGTCTATGTTTTGCTCTCTTTCCTGCCTCTGGCCACCTCATTCCAAGGAGAAAGCATTTTGGGAAGTTCTCTGTTTGAGTTGGCAGATTCTCCTGGACCTGTAGACCTCTGCTATTATCTCTAGGGTATCTTTGATGTATTTTTCTGCTGCAAAACATTGAATCTGAGATTGAAAAAACATTCAATATACAAAAATCATTTTCACTATTAACCAAAAATTGAAATAAAAAGGCAGTATAATTTACAATAATATTAAACATATGACATACTTGGGGATTAACTTAAGGCTAAGGTAAATCTTTTGTTATTTACTTTTATATTAGGGGATTTAACACAAGGGAGTTTTTTTACCACTGAGCCATATGGTAAAAATTTTTATTTTTTAAGACAGGATCTCACTAAGTTGCTTAGGGCCTCGCCCAGATGCTGAGGCTGGCCTCAAAGTTGTGATCCTCCTGCCTCAGCCCCCCAAGCCACTGGGATCACAGGGGCATGCCATCGTTCCTAGCAACAAAAGATTTGTAAGATCCATTCTGTGCCACCCAAGCAGAAAACTACAGAATGTTGAGAGAAGTTTAGGTAGGTAGAGAGATAGATACACTATTAGCATATTTCACTGTTTATGAGATGAAAAGCTCAATCTTAAGATGCAAGTTCTTCCCACATTGACCTAGGGATTCAATATAATCCCCAGTGAAAATCCCAGCAGCCTTTTTTTTTAAAAAAAAAATTAGCAAACTATTTCTGAATTTCATGTGAACTTTAAAGGACATGGAAGAGCCAAAACAAATTTCAAAAAGAAAGTAAGTGGGAGAGTTCACACACTAGGTGGTTTCAAGATTTACCAAAAAATCAAGAGTGTGTGGTATTGAAATAAAGATTAATAAACAAAACAGACCAGGAAGTCCAGAAATAGTCTGAATATATGTGGACAGTTTGTCTTTGCATTTCTGTCTGTCATAGATAATGCAGCAGGGAAAGGATAGGTGTTTCAACATATGGTACTACAACAGCTGAATACTATGTGTAAGAAAATAAATGACCTTTCTTTATTACTGTCGATAGATTAGAGCCCTATATGAATATGAAATATTTTTTTAAAACTTCAAAGATTTCTTAGATATGACACCAAACGTGCAGCCCATACAAGAACACGTTGGTGAATTATACTTCATCAATGTGAAGTATAATTATATTCTATAATTATATAATGAAGTAGGCTCTTCATCAGCCACTCTTGCAAGAAGCAAGAAACGAGCCACACACTTGGAGAAGATATTCGTAAAAGACTTGTATCTGAAATATTACTGATTATCAAACTTCAATAGTAAAAATACAACTCAGTAAAAAGAGAGGCAAAAGATTTAAACAGCTATTTTACCAAGGAAAATACACAGCAGAGAAACACATGAGAAGTTGTTCAGTGTTATTAATTATTAGGGAAATGTTAATTAAAGCTGCAAGATGCACTGCACTATTAGAATGGCTGTCTGCACCATGAGTTTGTGACTATGTAGGCTCCTGGAACTTTGGTATTCTGGTATTTTCCTAAAATGTTATAGGCCTACCCTGTGGCCCTGGTATTCCAATCCTAGGTGTTTTCCCAAGAGATATGTCAGTATATCTCCATGCAAAGGAATGGACATGAGTGTTTTTTTTTTTATTGGTTGTTCAAAACATTACAAAGCTCATGATATATCATCTTCCATACATTTGATTCAAGTGGGTTATGAACTCCCATTTTTACTCCAAATACAAATTGCAGAATCACATCGGTTACACATCCACGTTTTTACATAATGCCATATTAGTGACTGTTGTATTCTGCTACCTTTCCTATCCCCTACTATCCCCCCTCCCCTCCCATCTTCTCTCTCTACCCCATCTGCTGTAATTCAATTCTCTCCCTTTTTTTTCCCTTTCCCCTCACAACCTCTTATATGTAATTTTGTGTAACAATGAGGGTCTCCTTCCATTTCCATGCAATTTCCCGGACATGAGTGTTTAACAGCTTTCTTTGTAATAGCTCCAAATTAGAAACTCGGATGTCTTCAATAGACAATCTGTACCAACATGTGTTTATTCATTTTATCTTTAATCCAAAATGTCTGGAACTAAAAGTGTTTCATATTTCAGAGTTCTCTGGATTTTGGAATATTTGAACATTACAAAAGATCCTGGGGATGGGATCCAAAGTCTAAACACAAATTTATTTTTTATATATAACTTATACATATGTCCTGAAGGTAATCTTATTCAATATTCTTAGCACACCAGTCACCAGTGGTTTGACTATGACCTGTCACTTGAGGTCCAGTGTGGAATTTTCCATGTGTAGTATCATATTGACTCTCAGGAAGTTTTGGATTTTGGAGCATCTTGGGGTTTCCAGGTTAGGAATCTGCACCTGTATATCCACACAATGAAATACTATGCAGAAATAAAGGAATGAACTATTGACATGAATGTGACATGAACGAATCTCAAAATAATTATGCCCAATGGAAGAAATGAGAAAATGTGCATATTGTATACTTGAATTTACATGAAATTCTAGAATGTGCACAGTAAGCGCAGTAGATGAGTGGTTGGCTGGACAATGATGGTGCAAAATTGCAGTGTTGTACAGCAGATCTCTAGAAGGTACTCATTTTGAACAACTGAAACAACATCTATTTAATAGGAACTTTGCATTTACCTTCTCCCCCAATCCCTGGCAACTGCCATCCTGCTGTTTCTATAAGCATGAGTATTTTGGATACTTTGTATGTTTGGAATTGTGTGTAGTACTTGTGCTTTTGGGATTTGCTTGCCTTAGTGTAATTCTTCATGTTCATCCATGCCATTACCTGTGGCAGGATTTCCTTTTTTAAGACTGAGTAGTATTCATGTGTGCCCACGTGTGTGTGCATGCGTATGCTATGGTTTCTTTATCCATGCTTTCCTCATGGATAGTTGGGTTGTTCACAAATTGTGTTAGTCAGCTTTAGGGTACTGTAATAAATAAATGCCTGAGATTTTTCAACTTAAAGAGAAGAAAGGTTTTATTTTGGCTCACAGTTTTGGAAATTACAGCCCATGGTTGGTTGACTCTGTTGCTTTGGGGCCTGTGGCAAAGGACATCATGGCAGGAGCATGTAGCAGTGACAACTGCTCATTTCATGGTGGCTGGAGAACGGGAAAGGACTGGGATCCCCAAATCGCTTTCTAGGGCATGCATCCAGTGACCTAGCTTACTCCCAGGAGGTCTCACCTCTATCATATCCCTAGCACCACAGGATGTTGAACAAGCCTTTAACTTGCAGGCCTTTGGGGAGCACTTACCCAAATCATAGCACATCTTCTGGCCATTGTGGATAATACTGCAACGAACATTGAAGTGCAGGCACTTTCTGATCTCGGTACCTTTTGGACGTACACTTTGTAGGACTGCTGAATTATATGGTAGTTCTATTTTTATTTGGGGGGGAGTACCTCTGTACTGTTTTCCATGGCAGCATCCTTCTTTATTCCCATCATTATTTTACAGTAACCTTCCATCCTAACACTCATCCTTAAAATAAAAATAATAGACCACATGGCTGATAAATGAATAGTCAAAATATAGAAGGAATTCCTACAACTCAAGAGCTGCTAATAATAATAATAACCCAAGTAAAAAAGTAGGGAAAAGGCTTAAGTAGACATTCTCCAAGGAAGACCTACAAATGGACAATCGGCTTTGGAGAGATGCTCAATGTGCAGCATCTGTTTAAAGCAGCCCGGTGGCTCTCGGGGGAGGCCAGGCTGGAGGAACACTCTGTAGCCTTGCTACTGGCTGGCCCCTTGCCAATCCTGCTCAGCCTTCCTCTTCTCTGTGTGCCTCGGACAAGGAACTCGGCAAAGTTTATTTTCTTGTAAATAGTCATTGTCTTCCAGAGAATCTATGTGAATAGACTGCAAAATAGAAGCCAGTCTGCAGCACGGATGCTCCCCATGCACAGGGTTCATAATCGGGCAAAGGGCGGTGGAGTAAGGGAAGGAAGAGGGTGATGGTCGTACCGGTTCCATTCATTGGATATATTTTATTTTAGGGAAGATCCTGCTTTCGAGAGTGGCAGAAAGCAAAGGAGAAGGATGTCGGTAATGTAATAACTTTGATTATTTTAAAGTAATACTCCCCAGATTTCAGTTACTTGCATGCCACCTGTAAAATGTGCCATAGCATGATTCCTGGTTACCAGTTTTTCTAAACTATCTTAAATTTATTTTAAAAGAAATTATTTCAATTTTAAATGGAAAAGCAGTGTTCTAGCAAGTAGCGAATAGCGCTTGAAAATCGCCAGGTTACCCTGTGAGCTCTGAAAAGGCCCATCGGCCATATCTAGGATCATCAGTTTGGACAGATTAAGTGAGCCCAGTCAAAAAAACTCAGTAGAAGGTAACATTGTCACGTTAAATCCTAGTTGTTTGCAAATAGATAGTGGACAATTTGAAGGTAGATGCTCTCAGTCAGTCCTTTGCCACTGTAGTAAGTGCTTATTTAACAGAAAAGAGCCCGCTCATGTTAGCTGGGACATGGTGGACCCTCTTTGCTCCATAGCAACAGAATCAGGTGAGAGTGGCATCTCCATGACCGCCAGCACTTAAATGCACAGCCAGAGAGCTCTCCCAAAACTGCACCTTGGGGCTTCCCCTCTTAAAACCTTTGTCCCCCATTTTTTTTCCTAAATTACATTAGGCCCCTTCTTGCTTTGCTATATACTTTTAAAAGTCTTAAGCACTCAAAACTTATCCTGAGTAGATCAGAGCTGTTAAAGAATCAAAATGTCTCACTGAGTCAGCATTGCTGAATGGCATGCCTTATGTCTGTGCCAATGACATCTGTCCAAGCGCCACCATTACTGGCCGTTTGCTTTGGGAATCACAGTACTGAGTGTGGTCCATGTTCTCCTTTAAAAAATAAAGAGCAAGATGCAGAAAAGCCTGGCTCATGAAAGTTCCTGTTGGAAATCACCTTCTCTAGCCAGTGTGGGTTCCCGTCCGTGGATTCATGGCCAACGTGTAGAGTATGTTCTCAACAAAATACTGTTCAGCCTCACGGAGGGAAATCCTGTCACTCCTGGCAGCGTGGGTGAGCATGAGGAACATTAGGTTGAGTGAAATAAGCCAGGCACAGAAAGGCACATCCTGGGTGGCCTCACTTGTGTGGAATTTTTAAAAAGTCAAACTCATGGAAATAGGGAGGGAAATGATAGATATCAGGGGCCAGAGGTGTTGGGGAGAATACGGATCAAAGGATACAAAATTTCAATTAGACAAAAAGTAGGCCTGTCTTATCTCAAAATGACTACAGTTAATAGCAATTTAAGTATACTATGTGTTATGAGAATAGGTTTTAGGTATGCTCATTTTTTAAAAGTATGTGAGGTCATGCATGTGCTAATTAGATTTTAACTCTTACACAGTGGATTCATATATCAGAACATCATGGGGTGCACCAGCCATATTCACGAATTTCGTCAGTTAAAAATGACCCCTACAAAATGCTGAACTACGAAACATTTTAAGAGAGGAGTAATTGGGTCTCACAAATGAATTTATTTGGTAATAACTGGACAACTAACCACCCTCACCCCTGGGCCGTGGTGGTGATATCACAAAAACTGACATTGGTTCAATTCTAACCCGGTTGTGGCCTCGGGAGATGATTCTGCGCTTTGTCATTTGAGATAGTGGGTATATCTTCCAGTGGATGATGCTTCCTGTTTGAGAAGACTGAGATGTTTTTTTTACCAGTTACTATGTTGGGATCCTTCAGAATCCCCCCTTACCGCAGATGGGAATGGTTGTTGCAGCTGAGTGGTGGGTCCCCGGAAAAGCAGAGTGGTTTGGGGACAGAGCCCCTGGAGGTACCCAACACAAATCTCATATAGGGTGGGATTTTTTTCTGTTAAAATCAAAACCAATTTTAAAATGGAGCATAAACATATTTTCATCATAGCATTTATTTTAGAAGCTCAAAAACTATAAAAGCTTTTAAAGATAAATATCAAAGTACAGTTGAATTACTCACCAGAAAAGATCAAATTTATTCTAAATCACTAACCTATTATAGTCTAGTCTGTTTCAAAATCCTTTGTTTTCTATAGAAATGATCCTCCTGGTTGGTTTCAGTTCTTCTAAGGCATAGAGAACCAGGTCTTTGCAAAATAAAAAGGGGTGTGTGTGTGTGTGTGTGTGTGTGTGTGTTTACACATGTGTGTACTTTGTTTTGTCGTTTGAGTTTATGCTTTGAAGCTGGCCAATATTGGGTGCATTTGCTTTTGAACAGCTAACATCTCTTCAAGTGCAGATACTTGATTAAAAATTATGTGCCATCCTCTACAGCAGCAGCAGGGTTGGAACTCACTAGTGGAATAATTCTTTTTTCTCTCCCTTCTGCACATTTTTATGATGGGAGGGAGCCACGTCTTCCAGAAGGACTTCCTTCTCTGACGCCTAAGCACAATGTTTAATATGTGTGTAGTAACAGGATTAACTGTACGTCAAGGGCACTGGCCCCCCTTGGCCGGTTATTTAGCCTCTGTGTTTGTAAAAGTTTAATTACAGGAAACATCTTTTCTCTGAGAGTAATCAAGATTCAAGTTCTTCTACCAGTGAACAATCTTGGAGCAGTAACCACAAAAGGAAATCCCTAAAGCCATATTCCAGTAGGAGTAAGACTAGAGTCAGAAGCAGTTTAAGAGGTACCTTTGCTTGCCATCTTTTGGGTCACTTCTCAGATCAATCGGCAGATATTATTTTTTTCAGTGTGGGGGATGGTAACAAATATGATTACGGGCCTCTCTTTCCCATTTTACAATCACACCAGAAAGGAAAAATATATGTACATGAAACAAAGAATATGGAGTTAACTAGAAGTTATTAAAAGTCAGGAGTTGAGCTGGGGGGACCTCATAAGAGCTAGAGCCACTTTTAAGTACGAGGTGGGAAGGACTTGAGCTAAGCCTTGGGAAAGGAGTGGGGTGTGAAGGGCTGAGAAGGGGAAGCTTTCTAGGTTTAAAAAAAAAAAAAAAAAACCACCAAAATGCACCCAGGAAGTGAGGGTGATGTTCAGGGACGGTGTTTGGAGCAGGAGTTCACACAAGGTGGTGAGGAGCAAGGGGGAATCATTGCAGAAGTATTTAAGAGCAGACACACGAGCAGGTGCTCAGAGTAGGAATAGCTCTAGCAGTGGCCTGTGTCATTAGAGGGAGAAATGGACCTCTGTGTGTCTCATAACTAAATGTACCCACTGTATGCTTATTTTCTTTTGTTCTTTAGTCTTGCCACATTTCCTTTTCAGTAGTGGCAGTGACCATGAGAAAGATCAAGTAAGTAAATTGTGTTGGACTGCCCTGGGCCCTAATGGGTTACACGACATTTTTTTTTTTTCTCAAAATACTTCAGCAATATGAGAATAATGAACCAGAAGTTTGCTGTTATATCCACTTCTGCCAATAGAAACTGCAAGAATCGTGGTGGTGCACACCTGTAATCCCAGCTACTGAGAAGGCTGAGACGGGAGGATTGCAAAGTTGAGGCCAGTTGGGCCAACTTAGCAAGACCCTGAATAAAAAGAAGGGCTGGGCATGTCACTTAGTGGTGGAGTGCATCTGGGTTCAGTACTGAGTACTGCAAAAAAAAAAAAACAAAAAACATGTAAGGGCTTCCAAACATTTAGTATGAATCATAGGTAAAGTTTAGGATCTTTTTTTCCCATTACTTACAAATATTGTTAAATATTATATAGGATACCCAAAACCTTGGCTATTCTGAATTCCCCTAGATATTTGCTCTTTTGAATTTGTTTTGAAGTAAATTGGTTTAATTCCTCCTATAGTTTTCAGTTTCTTATATTGCTTCTAAAGCTTTATAAAGCATATAAATCTTCATTTTGCAAGTGGTTCACGTGCCTTCAGGCTTATGTAAATATTGAACAAACGCTTGGGGTTTTAAAATTTCACTTATCCTCGTTTTATACCAAGGAGTTAAAAGTATGGATGCCAGTGTCCTCTGGACCAATTCAAAGCCACATTTTGCCTCATGTCAGCCAAGTTATTCCTTTGCTTAGTGGTTGGTTTTTGTCTGTCATGTGAGGGGTGTATAGACTACAGAGTCTGTGACCACGGACATAGGGTTTTATGAGGAGCCACTGCTGTGATTGAGGCCTCCATGGCACCCTGCCTGCTGGTACAGAAACTCAATAAACTGCAAGTGCTCTGGTCGCAGCTCCAGCTGCGTGCTGCATTAAGTACATGTTGATTCTCAAGTCATTCAGGATAGAGAGTAAACTTTTGACCCAGAGTAGGTACAGTTTTCCCTTGGGATCCATGAGGGATGGGTTCCAGAACTCTTTGGTGACCAAAATCTATGGATGCTCAAGTTCCTCATAAAATGGCATAGTATTTACTTATCTAGGCATATCCTTCTATATACTCTAAATCATATTTAGGTTCCTCATAGTACCTAATGCATTGTAAATGCTATGCAAATAGTCACTATACTATCTAGTTCAGAGAATGGTGACTAGGGGGAAAGTTGATGTATAGATTGAGTAAATGCAGTGTTTTCTTCAGTATTTTTGATGGGCCGTTGGTTGAATTTGTGGATGTGGGACCCATAGATATGGAGGGCTGATTGTAGTTGGTTATTTGTTGACTCATTCAACCCAAAATAATGAAATGGCCCAAAAGAATAGATTATCTAGTAAATATGGCTTTGGTTTTAAATAAGCACCAAAGAAACATCACAGATTTAAGAATTCTTAAATACAAGCTATGCAACTGGTAAAGTCTAGGCTGATGTTCAGTGAGGGTCTTGTGGACTTTCCACTTAAAATATATTTTCCTGTGCTGCAGTATAAGAATAATTATCTTAGTGGTTGGTTTTTGTCTGTCATATGAGGTATGTATAGACCGCATAGTTGTCAAACTTTTCTGTAAAGGGCCAGATAGTAAATATTTGGACATTTGTGAGTCATACAGTCTCTAGCAATAACCCAACTCTGTCTTTGTAGCCAGAATGGTTCCATAGATGATAGGGAAATTAACAGCATAGTGTGTTCTAATAAAACTTTATTTAGAAGAATAGACCGTGGGTTGTACTTTGCCAAACCCTGATTCAGAACAGTGGTTCTCAAATTTGAGTGGCTATCAGAAAAACTAGGATGACTTGTTAAGACAGATTTCTCAGTCCTATCCCCAGCATTTCTTATTGAGTAAGTCATAGGTGGCATTTGAGTATTTGCATTTCTTTCAAGTTCCTGTGTGTTGATGATGCTCTTGATCTGGACCACACTCTGAAAAGCATCGATTTAGAGTTTATCAGTTGAAATATGACCTAACTGTTCTTATAATTCTGAAATTTCCTGGTCTTTGTGTTTACTTTTGAATGCAGTAAATCCAATACCTAACTTCTTAAAAGGATATTGAAAATGTCTTGGGATTTTTTTTGGATAAAGTTTTCAGTGGTTATGAATGCTCATACTTAACAAAGGTGTCATTATGTTAGGCTAAACTTCTGTCACCAGTACGGGAAGACATTGATAGGCAAAATGCCACACTTCCAAAAATTTCTGAAACTGAACCCCAGCGTAGCCCTTCCTTTTTAACTCCTGAAGATTCTACACAGAAAATAGGTAAGTGATTTTTTGTTGTTGGTTTGTATAGATAAAAAGTTGTATTTGGAGACTGGTGGTTTGAAGCAAACCATTTTTTAAAAAGCCATGAAGGAAAGTGTTAGTTTGTGATGGCCTTTCCCTTTAATGTCTCCATTGGCAAAGGATGGGAGATATTTTGTTTATATTTTGCTTTGACATTTGAAATCAGATTACTCATAAGAATTGCCAGGTCTCCCTTTAAACATGCAGGAAAACTCAAGTGATGACCTAGAGCAGGAATTGATAAACTTTTCCCATAAAGTACACTGATAGCAAATATTTTTGCTTCTTGAATGCATATGGTTTCTGTTGCAGCTATTTAACTCCACAGTTGTAGCACAAAATCAGGTGCAGACAAGATTTAAACCAGTAAGCAGGCTTCTACCAAATGTTATTTACAAAATCGGATGCAAATTGGATTTGGCCTGGGGGTCCGTTCCGGTTTTGCCAAGCTTTGTTTTGTAAGCATTACCTTAACCCTCCCTGTATCTTATTGGAATTGTTTGCATCTTTTTAAGTTCATAAGCTTAGGGATTTTTCTTTTGTTCACCTTTATCATTCTACAGTTTAGCTGCTGCCAGGCACACACTGGCACCTAGGAAACACTGGGCCTCTTAGCCTGGCTGCCACTCATAGAAGTGTAAGGAAATGGAAAGGGGAGAGATGAAGATGCAGCATAAAGAGAGAGAGGCAGTGAGGCAGAAAGTTTTGGGAAAAGGAACAAACTACAAAACAGAAAACAATTAACAAAAGGCCACAGTAAGTCCTTACCTATTAACAATTACTTTATTGTAAATGGAATAAATCCTCCAATCAAAAGAAAGAGTGGCTGTTAGCTTAAAGAAACAAGATCCAATGACATGCAAGAAACTTACATTAGTCTTAAGGAAAAAGACTTAAAATGAAGAGATGAACAAAGATACACTCCATGTAAATGGTAACCAAAAGAGAGCAGAGGTGGCTATACTTAATATATACTTTCTGTCAAAAATCTGTCATCGATCAGAAAGATTAATATATTATGTTATAGGGGTCAATTCAAGAAAAGGATATAATTATTGTGAATATATAGGCACCCAGCATTGGAGCACCTAAATATGTAGAGCAAATATTAACAAAATGGAAGGAAAAACCAACAGCAATACCATAGTAGTAGGGGACTTCAGAAACCCATTTTCAACAATGGGCAAATCATCCAGAAAGAAAATCAATATGGAAATGGTGGACTTGGATGATACTGTGGAACAAGGGACCCAACAGACATACAAACGTTCCATACAACACAGTATACATTCTCAACAGTGTACACTGGACATTGTCCTGGATATATGTAATGTATGGCCACAAAACAAGTCTTAACAAGTTTAAGAGGATTGAAATCATGTCCAGTATCTTTTCTGACTACAGTAGCACAAAATTGAAGCGTTAACAGGGGAATTCTTGGAAAATTTACAAGTGTGTGGACAGTAACAGCATACTTCTGAATGATCAGTGGGTCAGAGAAAATCGAGAGTCTCTTAAGACAAAAGGAAATGGAAACAGACTACACCAGACCCTATGGGATGCAGCAAAAGCAGCATTTAGAGGGAAGTTTGTAATGATAAAAGCCTACATTAAGGACTGGGGTTATGGCTCAGGGGTAGAGCACTCGCCTAGCACGTGTGAGGTCCTGGGTTCAATCCTCAGCACCACATATAAATAAATGAAGGCACTGTGTCCATCTCCAACTAAAAATGTAGACTTTTTTTTAAAAAAGTCTACATTAGGAAAAAAGATGTCAAATGAACCAACTAACTCTACACTGCAAGGCACTAAAAATAGAATAAACTAAGCCCAAAGTCATGAGAAGGAGGAAAATATTTGAGGGCAGAAATAAGAGAAATAGACCCTAAGATAATTTAAAAGAGCTACAAAACAAATTAGTTCTGTGATGCTTGCCTGTAATCCAAGTGGCTCATGAGGCTGAGGCAGGAGGATCACAGGTTCAAAGCCAATCACAGCAAAAACGAGGTGCTAAGCAACTTGGTGAGACCCTGTCTCTAAAGAAAATACAAAATGGGGATGTGGTTCAGTAGTCAAGTGGTCAAGTGCCCCCGATTTCAATCCCTGGTACCAAAAAGGAAAAAAAAAAGTTTTGTGAAAAGATAAAAGTAACAAACTTTATCCTATCTAAGAAAAAAGGGGGCTCAAAATATAGAATCAGAGAACATTACAACTGATACTACAGAAATACAAAGGATCATAAGATGCTGTAGAAAATTATATGCCAACAAATTGGATCACCTAAAAGGAATGAATAAATTTCTAGACACATAAACCTATCAAGACTGAATCATGAAGTAGAAAATTTGAATAGATTCAAAGTAATGAGACAGAATCAGTAATCAAAAATTTCCCTTCAAAGCAAAGCCCAAGACATGATGGATATATGATTGAATTCTACCAAGCATTTTAAAAGGAATTAGCTGGTCTTCCTGAAACTGTTCCAAAAACTTGGAGAGGAGGGAACATTACCAAGTGTACTTTATGAAACCAGCATTACTCTGATACCAAAGCTATATAAGGACACTACAAGAGAAGAAATATTACAGGCCAATGTTCCTGATGGACAGGTATTCAGAAATCTCTATCAATATATAAGTCAATGGATTAAAACAGTACATTGAAAACACTGTGATCAAGTGGGATTTATCCCTGGGATGTCAGGATAGTTCAACATATGGAAACTAATAAATGGAAAAAAACCACCTTAACAGAATGAAGGATAAAATCCTATGATCATTTCAATAGATGCAGAAAAAGTATTTGAAAAAAAACCCAATAAAAATTAGATGTGTAAGGAATCACCTCAACATTTTTAAGTCAATATGTGAGAAGCCCACAGTTAATATTATATTCAGTGGTGAAAACCTGAAAATTTTAAGATCAAAGCAAGCATGCCTACTCTCACCACTTCTACTCAATAGAGTTCTGCAAATCCTAGTCAGAAATTGGACAAGATGGGAAAAATTAACTTGTCACTGTTACAAAAAAATTCTTATATAGAGAACCGCCAAACTTCTTCCACCAGAAATCTCAGAACTGCTAAACTGCTTCCCCTAGAAGTAAAATTATGGGATAATAAGATCAATATATAAAAATCCCTTGTGGTTTTTCCCCCTGGTTATTCCTGATTCAAATTGGCTGAAGAAAAGGCACTTATCACTCACAACATTTTCCACAAAGATGAACTAAAGTAATAGATATATGGCTGCATTTTTGAGTGAGCATTGAGGAGAGACATTTAAAAGCAGCCAAAGACTGAAGCCTGAAAGATTTAGAGACTTAAGAATAACAGTGTAGTGAGGAAAACAAAATACCCTGGTATATATGGTTCTGCAGACAGGAGTCCTGCTTACATGGTGTAAGAGTGGAAAAAGTCCACTGGGTACAGTGGCACACACCTGTAATCCCAGAGGCTTGGGAGGCTGAGGCTGAAGGATCATGAGTTCAAAGCCAGCCTTAGTAAAAGAGAGGTTCTTAGCAACTCAGTGAGCTCCTGTCTCTAAATACAATGCAAAATAGGGCTGGGGATGTGGCTTAGTGGTTGAACGCCCCTAAGTTCAATCCCCGGTAACACCTCCCACCACCCCCCCCAAAAAATACTAGAAAATTCAACCAGTATGGATGCTGACAATCCTAAATACTGAAAAGTTTCAATCCTCATGTGCTTGCAGCTCACTTAGATAAGTAATCTAAAATCTGCACAGTAGCCTTGCTTTGGAAAAGGATCTCTCGATATCTCCCTGTGAAACCCCCAGAGTGCTGTAGCTAGGGGGGGTGAGCAGTGATCTGTCATCTGTCTGGGCTGCTCTAGGACCCCCTGCGTATTCCCACCTCCAGGACTCCACAGACACTCCACCACACTCACTTGTGGGTCACTGTCTCATGACCCCTACACGGTACAGCAGAACAACTGTGACTGAAGTCCACTGGGTGCCCTGCAAGAGAAAAGTGTTGGGACAAGGAGGAGAATGGAGGACACTGCCCTCAAGAACCAAGAGGGTGGAGCCCTTGCCCTCTGGGACTAAAGGTGTGGTCAGCTGCACAGGGATTCCTGCTAAATGCCAGGACTACAGGCGAGCGCTCCCCCACCATACCGCATTCAGATGCCCATTACTGGCAGGTTGGGGAGGGAACTACTAGTTCCATCATCCAACATCCCTTCATAATGAAAGCTCTCAACAAGTGAGATATGGAAAGATCCTGCCTCTACTACTGAAAGCTATGTATGCAAAACTGTCGCCAATGTCATATCCATGAGGGAAAGCTAAGATCATGGACAGTACAAGTATGTCTTTTCATTGCTGTTATTCACATAGCAGAGCTTTTAGAAAGAAAAGGCATCCAATATGAGGAAATGAAATTATCTCGGTAGGTATTATTCTCTATGTAGAAATTCAAATATTCCACCGAGAGACTATTAGAATTGATAAACTCAGTAAAGTAGCAGGATGCAGTGTCAACATAAAATATCTGTTTTCTATATACCAATAACAAAGTTTGCTGAAAAAGAAATCATGAAGGCAATTCTTCATACTAGCTACAAATAAATAAAATATCCCAGGAATTAACCAAAGAAACAATATATCTCTACAGGAATAACCAGACAGATGAGAGAGTTTGTAAATAGAAGATGTAAAGACTTCCCACGTTCATGGTTGAAGAATTGATTGCACTGGACAGTGTGACCATTTAAGCTATCTATAGATTCCATGCATTTTCTATCAAAATACCCATAAAATTCTTCACAGAACTAGAAAAAATGGTAACATTCATATGGAAGCACAAACTACACTAAATAGCCAAAGGAACCTTTTTAAAATAGCAAATGATTTATATTCCTGGGTGAAGAAACTTATTCTATTTATGATATCCATACCCACGAATGATTCAATTTAGTAAGGACTTTGTAGAAAGTACAATGATAATGTATGAGAGGTTTGAGTTACAGTGTAAGTGTATTATTTGTTGAATTCTAAAATACTCCAAAGGTGTTTTGATACGAACCTGTTTGGGATTAGCGGTGTACTTTCTGGCTAAATATCACGAGGGAGGATTACACATTTCTCCTCTAGTGACATGTAAATACTACTGGTCTCCTTCAGTCTCCCCAGTTAGCCTTGTCACATGACCATGTCTTCTGTTTAGTCTTTATAAATCCTAAAGGTTCTAGTTCAGAAACAGCTCTCATAAACCAGCCTGGATAATTCCATCCATCTCTTCTTCGGTTGTAGAATTTGCATTCATCTTTTCAGCAGCTGTCACGGGGTTGACTAGCCTGCTACGCTGCAGGAGCAGTTGATAAGTGATGCAGATGTCAGGGGCAGTGTTTGGAATTCAGTCTTCTTCCCTCTTCAGTGTTTTGTTCTTTAAATAACAATAAGGGTTGCTGAGTGCCGAGTGGAAGGTGTGGTACTGGAGCAGCAGTTAAATGCTCAGGTGGGGAGCACTGAAGTACACCACCTCATGTCTTAGGAGGCAGAAGGTATTCACTCACTAGACAAAAATGAGGTTCACAACTTTTTCTTTGAGCGCATCAAACCTGATTTGCTTCTTTCTTATTGTTAACTCCTTCGTTTCCAGGAAAAATAGATTCCATGTGTTTTCTTGTGAAGAAACTGTATGCTACATTTGTCACTAATTTGGTTTTATGGTATGAAAAATCTTCTTCATTTTGAGACTTGAGATCCTAAAGTTAGAACTATCTTCTGAAGGTGAGAGAGATCGGTCTCCTGAAGCCCCTTTGGCTGTGATCCAGAAGCAGCTGCTTTGGCATCAAGGTTCTGAAACTGGGCCATGAACTTCCCTGTTCTCTTCGATTTCTGAAGCCTGGTCATCAGTTCATCCTTTGCCAGTGTCTCTCTTGGAGGATGAAAGTCTGAGATCAGACAGCTCCGCTGGTTTGGACTCCTTGGCCGCATTGTGGCAGATGGCATCATGGTAGTAGTGGATGTAACCAAAGCAATCTTGAGCAAAAGAGCCAAGCGGATGACATCAAATACCTCATTTCAAGACATAGTACCAAGCAAGGCAATCAAAAAATGACATTGGCATAAAAATAGACACAATGGAAAACAGAGACCCCAGAAGTAAATCTATGCATCTATAGCCAACTGATTCTTGATAAAGGTACCTGTCGTGGACTGGGTGAAGGAATGTCTTCCCAAAAGTTCACGTTTTGAAAGTCCGATTTTAGTGCAGTGGGGTTCAGAGGCGGGGCTTTTAGGCAATGAGAGCTGAAACCTCATAAGTGGATTATTTCATTTGAGGGGGTAACAATTTGAGTGGAGGCAGGTGGGGCGTTGTTGAAGGAAGTAGGTCATGGGAAGGGCGTGCCCTTGGGGTCTACATCTTTTTTTTTTTTTAATTATTCTATCATGTAGCTGAATAATTATTATTTTATGAAGGTTTATTGGTGCATATTATTTATACAGAATAGTGAGTTTACTGTGGCCCATTCATACATACATATAATATGGTTAAATCAATTTCACTTTCCAGTACGTCCTCTTGCCCTTACCTTCTCTTTCCCACATGCTCCCCTACCTCTATTCTAGTGGTTTCCCTTCTACTTTCATGAGACCCATTTTTTTTCTTTTTTTTCCCTCTAACTTTCACAAATGAGAGAAAACATCATGACACTTGTTTTTTTCTGAATCTGTATTATTCAGCTTAACTCGATACTTTCCCGTTCCATCCATTTTCCTGCAAATGCTATTATTTAATTTTTCTTTATGGATGAATAAAACTCCATTGTGTATATATATATCATTTTTTTTTTTTTAGATTTTTCATCTGTTGATGGACACCTAGGGACAGGCAATAATTTTCTGGCTAGACCCCGGAAACCAAAGCAAAAATTGATAAATAGGATTACTTCAAACTAAAATGCTTCTGCACAGAAAAGTTAACATAGGAGACAACCCCACAGGGTGGAAGAAAATGTTTTCTAGTTATTCCTTTGACAGAGGGTTTTGTTCAGGACATATAAAGAACTCAAAAACATAAAAATAATTTAGTTTAAAAATGGTCAAAGAATATGAAAAGACACTTATCCAAGGAAGAAATACAATTGGACAACAAATATGTGGGAAAAATGTCCATCATTAGCCATCAAGGAAATGCAAATCAAAATGAGGTACCGTCTTTCCCCAGTTAGAATGCTTGTGTATTTATATGTACATAAATAACAAATGTGTATATACACCAATGTTTATATACAAAATTACAGTGAGGAGGTGTAGAAGTAACTTGTATGTGCTTATGTGGTGATGGGAATGTAACTAGGTACAGCCACTGTGGAGAAGCAGTATGAGGATTCCTCCAAAAATTAAAAATTAGATCTACTATATGATCCAGCTATGCCACTCCTGGGAATATATCCAAAGGAAATGAAATCAACTTACCAAAGAGGCACCTGCATGCCCATGTTTGTTGTGACATTGTTCATAGTAATTAAGAAATTAGCCCAAGTGTTCCTCAACAGATAAATAGTGGTATGTATACACCACGGTATTTACTCATGCAGAAAAATGAAATCCTGTCCTTTGGAGCAAAACGGATAGAACTGGAGGAACTTATGTTCAATGAAATGAGCCAGATGTCAATAGTACTATAGGTTCTCATGTGGGGAAGTTAAAAATGTCAATCTGCAAGTAGAATAGTGACTACTAGGGATTGGCAAGAGTTCATGTCCGGGAGGTGGGGGGGAGGTAGGAAAAGAATATTTCAATTTGATCAGGGCATGCTGTACCCATGTATGAAAATACACTGAGCCCTGTTATTATATAATTATGCTAATCAACTGTAGTCTGTTCTATGTTATAGTAACAAATTATCTGGAAAAGGAATCAAGAAACTTATCCCATTTTAGTAGCATCAAAATAAATAAAACAGTAATGAATATAAGCAAGTAGATGAAAGATCTGTATACAGAAGTCTATAAGACATTGATAAATGAACACAAATGGAAAGATCTCTCATGTTCATGGATTGGAAGAACTAATTATTTTAAACACTTTTAGTTGTAGATGGACGTAATACTTTTAACTTATTTGTATGTGGTGCTGAGGATTGAACACAGTGCCTCACATGTGCAAGGCAAGCGCTCCACCACTGAGCTACAACCCCAGCCCTTGGAAGAATTAATACTAAAATGTCTATACCGTCCACAATCTATGGAATTCAAGTAATTCTTATCAAAACTCCAATGGCATTTTTTTAACCAAAAAATAAAAATCTCAAAATTTGTATGCAGTAGCAAAAGACTCCAAACTGCTAAAGCAATCTCGAGAAAGAGGAATAAACCTGGAAGAATCACACAGATGTCAAACTAACAAAGCTGTTACTCAAAACTGGTGTGAAGACAGACATGCAGACCAATGGTAGGAGAACAGTCCAATAAGAAACCCATTGAAACATAGTCACCGAATCTTTGACAACAGTGCAGAGAATACACAATGAGGAAAGTTTCTTCAATAAATCGTGCTGGAAAAATTGGACATCAATATCCAAAAGAGTGAATCGAACCCCTCATACCATATGAAATATTAAAATGGATTATGGACTTCAATATTGGAGACTTTAAAAGAGAAATGGCTCCTTTACATCAGTCTTGGCAGTGATTTTAATATTGCCAACAAAAGCAAAAATAAGTGGTACTGCAAAAAACTTCAAAGGAATCAACCAACAGAATGTAGAAAATAATTTTTAAAATACAGAAGTAACTAAATAGATAAAAAGGTAGAAAGGCAAAATGCCTAAACACTTTCCCAAAGAAGACATACAAATGACTGACAGATGTGTGGAGAGGTGCTCAGTGGCACTAATCAGGGAAGCACAAATCAAAACCACCATGAACTATCACTTCATGCTTGAGGATGGCTACTATCAAAAAGACGAGAGGTAACAATTGTTGGCAAATGTAGAAATGGAAACCCTCAGTACACTGTTGGTGGGAGTGTGAAGTGGTATGATCCAGGAATTCCACTTGTGGGTATCCAAAGGAAATGAAATCGGTATGCCAAAGAGAGCTGCACTTTCGTGTTTGCTGCACCATTATTCACAATAGCCAAGATATGGAAACCATCCAAACACCTGTCAGTGGATAAATGGAAGGAAAAAATGTGGTATAGATACATCATGGAATATCATCCCATTCCACAAAGGAGGAAGAAATCCCACCATTTGTGACAACATGGATGAACTTGAAGGACATTATGCTCAGTTAATTAGATCACACAGCATTCATTTGTCTGGCTCATTTATGTGTGGAATCTACAAAAGTCAAACTCATAGAATCAGAGTAAAATGGTCGTTGCCACGGGGGTGGGGGGAAATGGGAAGATGCTGATCTAAGTATACAACCTTGAAGCTGTGAGATGAACAAGTTCTACAGACGGAATGTGCAGCATAGGTGGTGGTGGAGGTGTTAAATATGATGGTCGTTGCTCAGTGTAGATGTCAAATCCCAAGAGGTAAGGAGGAAGTAAGGCAAGCAAAGGAAGAATCTCAAGGTTGAGGTGATAGACTCCTTGCCCATATTGGGGGCCAGATGGGCAGCTAATAAAGTGTGATCTAGTTGAGGTCATGGACTCTTCATCTTATCTACAGTGATCTACAAACCTAATAACATATGTGCCCTGAAAAATGCAGACATTATTTTATCTAGGACTGCGTACCCATCTTTTTATTATGTGATTTAATATAGAGTAATAGTGAAATGTTATTTATCTTTGTCTATTTACTTGAAGCTGTTTTTTTTTCCTGATACTTAGAATTCCCAAATCCCCACCCACTGAGTGATCTCTCTTCCTTGGAGCACTCAGAAGTTGAAGAAGATGTATCTCAGGTACCATTCAGTTTTTCATTTGCTTTTCTGGAATTAAAAAATATATCTGCATAACATACTGGCTTATTATTTTTTAAGGGATAGTGTGGCACTATTTCTTTGCAATTTTACATGTAATTGTAACTCATGTAAGTATATATGCACACAAGCATATTTATCATTTGTGTTTTAGACTGTGAACCAAGAGTCGTTAATGGAAAATACTAGCTTCAAACATAAGCTGCAGAACTTGGAAGACAGAGGTAAGAGAACTAAATTTTCCAGAATAAAGTTAAATTAATGTGACAACATTATACATACCTAGCAGTTCTTCATGATGTTTTTTAACTTCTTAACTATAATATGTGTTGTTTAATTTTAAATATCTTCCATTTTTATTTTTATTTATTGATTCAAAGGTTATTTAAAATATATTTCTTTTTTTTATTTGGGCTTCTTTTCTGGGTGATTATTAAGATTGCAGCAGATAATAGTTACTTTACAGATTGACTGTTGTCAGGCCACGGGGTCAGCAGTGTGAGCTACTTACCAGCTCCAAACATTCATGAGGGTCAAGGGGAGAAATAGTGCTCCATTCGAAAACCAGAGTCTCTTGTGGCTGTGAAGAGAGAGTCTGAGTCCTGGGTCCTACCCACTGCCCCGCTGCCTCTGCAGAGGACACAGCGGGGGCACTTCTCTGAGATTGGGCCCAGGAATTTGTTTCATCCCCCTGTGTGTAGGCTACTCTCAGTTTGTAAGAGATGTTTAAAAGATGCAACCAAGTTATTAAAACTTCTAAATTCATTTTATCACACAGTGATGGAAGGTTCCTGAGCTAGTCCTCAAGGTCATATTAGTGTAACAACTCACTAATATATGAATACACATGTTCACATAATAATATGCTAATATAGTATGTAGCTGTTCTTCATGAGGTTTCTTAACTGTATGTTAAATATCAACATTTCAATTCATTATAAATTGCACATAGCATATTCAGAATATCCACACGACAAATATTTGTGAATATCTAGTTTTAGAAATGCGACATTACTATTACTTCTAAACATGGTATGCTCCACCTGAAATCCATTCCACCCTTTTCTCTCACCAGGGGCATTATCTTTTGTTGTGATTCCACTGCTCTTATTTTTAAATTTTTGCATTGGGAAAAACATTATGCATATTCAGAAGAGACTGTGAAGCATGTGTACAGTTCAGTGAATGATTGTCAGGTGAACACTTGTGCAGCCACAGCTTAGACTGAGGACTAGAACACTAGCTTAGAATCCTTCCGTATTGAGCAATTCTCTGTTCACTTCCTCCATCCCTCAGAGGTAGCGACTGTCCTGAATTATATGAAAATCCTTCTGCTCTTTTGTGATTTTTTTTCTTATTTGTATGTAAACAAATGAAATTATGTTGCGTCTATCTTGTGTGGCCTGTTCTTTCTGTTTGGTCATTTTTAAGATCCGTTTATGCCGATGTATGTGTGTGAAGTATATTATTCTTCATTACAATTTAGCATTCAGTTACATGAAATACCATAGTCGCCATCCCAGTACTGTAGGATGTTTGCATTTTGAAGCTTTGGGTGGTTATAGTTAAAGCCATTCTTAAAAATCATACACATTTCTCCTGATAAATGTGTGAAAGTGTTTTTTCCAGATATGTTTTTAGGAGTAGGATTATGGGTTATAGAGTGTATATCTTTCACAGTCTGAGAGGTGCCAAAATACTTTTCCAATGTAGTTGAATAAACTTGCTTTTCCACCAGCTTTTATGAAAGTTACGTTGCTTCAGATCCTTGACAAGTATTTTAAAATTCTTGGTTTTAAAACTTTTCTCCTATGTACATTGAAGTTTTAATTCAAATGTTCCTATCTATTGTTTATTAGATATTTGAATTTCCTCTTGTGTAGTGTCTAAAATGTCTGGGTCAGTTGTCTATAGAATTGTCATTTTATATTGATCCCTAGGTGTACTTTATGTACCAGCCCTGCACACTAGTACCTAGTTAGATATGCTGTACACATCTCCTTTCACTTTGAGTTTTGTATATCTTTCTTATATGATGTGTTTATGATCTCCTTTGATAGATAAAATTTTTATTTTAATGAATCCTAATTCACCAGTCTTTTCTCTGTGGTTAGTTATGTGATATTCTTTTCTACCAAAACTCAGATGTCATTTACTGTTTAATAATACATCTAATGCTGTTAAGTACTGCTTTAGGTGAGTCTCTTAGATATGATATTTGTTGTTTACTTTTAAATATCTTCCATTTTTATTTTTATTTCTTTATTGATTCAAAGGTTATTTAAAAGATATTTCTTTTTTTATTTGTACTTCTCTTTATTTCTACTATAAGAATTAGTTGCTGTTACAATATATAATAATGAATCAAGTTACATTCCAGAAAATGATAGAAGTTGAGAAAACCTGTGTTTCATAAAAAACAAAACAAAACAAAAAAAAAAACCTCAGGTTAGTCCCTGTTCATGAACTCACAAAAATTCCTAGCCTGCCTACTTGCTCAAGTATAGTGGTTCAAACATGTGACATTGAAGTGATTGATGCCACTGTCAATGTCATATTGTGTGATACATCATAAGTCTGAAAACATTCATCTGTTTATTCTTGCATTTATTCATTTTTTTGCTCAATACATGTTTTTTTAAAATTATAATTTGTTATATATCACAGAAGAATGCATTTCAATTCATAGTACACATATAGAGCACAATTTTTCGTGTCTCTGGTTGTACACAAAGTACAGTTGCACCATTTGTGTCTTCGTACATATACTTAAGGCAATGTTTTCCATCTCATTCCACTGCCTTTCCTACCCCCATGCTCCTTCCCTTCCCTTTTCTCCCCTTTGCCCTATCTAAACTTCCTCCATTCCTCCCATGCGCTCCCCCACCCCCATTATGGATCAGCATCCACTTATCAGAGAAAACATTCAGCCTTTGGTTATTTGGGATTGGCTTCTTAGCATTATATTCTCCTACTCCATCCATTTACCTGCAAATGCCATGATTTTATTCTCTCTCAATGCTGAGTAATATTCCATTGTGTGTATATATATATATATATATATATATATATGTATATATATATATATACCACAGTTTCTTTATTCATTCACCTGCTGAAGGGCAGCTAGGTTGCTTCCATAGCTTAGCTATTGTGAGATGAGCTGCTATAAACATTGATGTGGCTGCATCACTGTGATATGCTGATTTTAAGTCTTTTGAATATATACCAAGGGATGAGATAACTGGGTCAAATGGTGATTCTATTCCTATTATATATACATATATAATAGGAATATAATATATTGTATTATATATAATATAATATATATTATACTATATATAATATATTTTTAGTTGTTAATGGATCTTTGTTTATTCATATGCAGTGCTGAGAATCAAACCCTGTGCTTCACACATGCCAGGCAAGTGCTCTACCACTGAGCCACGGCTCTAGCCCCTCCATTCCTAGTTTTTAAAGTAATCTCCATACTGCTTTCCAGAGTGGTTGCACCAATTTTCAGTCCCACCAGTAACATAAGAGAGTACCTCTTCCCCCACATCCTTGCCAACACTTATTGTTGCTTGTATTCTTGATAACTGCCATTCTGACTGTAGTGAGATGGACTCTCAGTGAAGTTTTAATTTCCATTTCTCTAATTGCTAGAGAGGTTGAACATTTTTTCATGTATTTGTTGACCATTGTATTCAATGACGTGCCTGTTCACTTTGCCCATTTATTGATTGGGTTATTGGGGGTTTTTTGTTTGTTTGTTTTTTCTGTTAAGTTTTTGAGTTCTTTGCATATCCTGGAGATTGTCATATATTTTATAAAAATTCTACCGTTATTATATATTTTGTTGCCTTTTAAGATTTTAAAAATTGCTTTACTACCAAGTCTGTTTTCCTTGTAACCTCTTTGTAACTTTCAAGTTGACTTGGTACAAATTTTTGATTTACTTATTTTTTTGAGGACTTTGTAATGTTCCACTGTATTTTAGTGGTGTTTTTTCCACTTAAGTGACTTGGTCTTTTTGTCTGGGTGCTCAGAGTTCCTTTCTTTGTCTTTCTGAGATTCCTCAAGGTCATATATCTCCCTCCAACAAGTAAACATTGTAATTAATATTAAAATTTGGTTTATAGGTGCTTTTATAAAATATAAGTGCATGCACATGGTTTTGTTTTATTTTTTTTCTTTTTAAAAAAAATTATTCTAACTTGTTATATATCACAGCAGAATGCATTGAAGATGTATGGTCAGATGTATGGTTCATTCATGTAAATGCCACTGTTAATTCTTTCATCAGTGGTTCTTTTATGCATTTGTTTTTAATTGACATACAAAACCGAAAATTGTACATATTAATGGAGTACTATGTAATATCTAAGTCCCTGGATACATTGCCTGATGATTAGATCAGGCTAAAAATTTAGCTCCTCAAACATTTATCATTTCATTATGGTGCACACTTTGAAAATGTTTTCTCCCAGCTTTTTGCAATGCACAGAACTTCACGGTTATCTATGGTGAACTTGGTATGTAATAGCACACCAGAACTTGTTCCCCCCCATCTCCATCCACTGTTCAGCCTTTCCCCATAGTCCTCAAAGAAAAGTACATCAAGAGTTTTTACCTGGTCAACCCTGCGCTCTGACTCCTGGCAGACACCATTCCACTCTCAGCTTCTATGAGATTCCATGTGAAAGTTTACATGTAAGGAAACATGTGTATGGTACTTGTCCTCTGTACTTGGCTTATTTCACCTAATGTAAAAATCTCCATTTCCATCCATGTTGCTGTAAATGACAGGATTTTTTTTTACTTTTTATGGTTGACTAGAATTCCATTGTGTATACGTACCACATTTTCTTTATCCACTTATGAGATGAGGAATGCTTTGGTGGTTCCCATCTTTAGCTCTTGTGAATAGTGCTGCAGTGAACATGAGAGAGCAGATGTCTCTCCACATACTGATTCAATTTCCTTTGGATATATACCCATCAGTGGGATTGATCATCCGAAGTTCACGTACTCTTTTTCCCTAATGGCTGTACTGAGTCACATTCCCATCAGCAATGTGCAGGGTTCCCTTTTCTCCACATTCTTACAAGCACAGGGGTAGCATTAGTCTTTTGATAAATACCCCTTCTAAATGGGGGCAGGTGATATGTCCTTGTGGTTTGGGTTTGCATTTCCCTGATGGTGAGCGATGTTGAACTTTTTT